GGTGACACCCATACATGTTCTTGCACATTAAAATTACCCACACTTTGTTTCACCTGAATATAGCAGCAAATCATTTCTCCAGTAAACTACAGCATAGTTACCAGATTGTAACATGCTCATTTAGTCCTTTACAGCTGTAGAGAAAGGGTGTTTATCATCTGGTTTTAGGGGGTGAGTGACCCTGATGTTTTACTAACTTAAATGCATTGCAATTTTTTTTTTCATATCTTAATTAAATATGTATTTTTCCATCTTGTTATAAATCTTGGCTGCCACATCTGAGATTCAGTGAATTTAATTTTCAGCTGCAAGTATATGGAGTAAACACATATTTGCTGGATATTGTCAGCAATCAATGCTGAGGGTTAGTCAGGTACAGTATGTTACCCATAGATTTATGGGTCTAAACTATTTACTTAAAAACAGTTGCTGACTCAATGTCCTCCATATATTGCTATACCTTGTACAGTATATGTTTTACTTTGTTATTTCCAGCCCATAAAACATAATTTATTCATTAAAAGACATGACACACTTTCCATGGCATCTAATACAGTACAGTAATTCACTGATAAAATATTATGTTCAAGTCCCATTCATAATAACTGTAGAATATTACTGAAGTATTATTCTTGACCAACATAAAGATAGACAATCAATGGTTTAATTCTTTGGCACCAGAAAATATAAGGGTACAAATAATATTCTGAATATAGCACCCAACCTGGACTGCAGAAAATAGTGTACTGTATATGATAAAGAAAGGAGCAAAAGAAATAATCATAACTTAAAACTAATACTCAACCAATAATTTAAATACAGTATATCCTTTGCAGTGTAACAAACTTTAATGACCATATCATATTACAACATACACAGGCTTCACTTCAGATTTACATTCTCCCACACAAACAAAGAAAAAACTTCCCTATATCAAAATTGGTCCCCTTTGGCACACAACACGTTTTCATTTTTCACACGAGAAAAAGAAACTTAAAATAACACACCCCATTTACAACAAAGACCCTTGTTCATATCTGATACGATATATTTCACAGATTTTTGGAACACCTTTTGTGAAACTATTTCGAAAATGTTAAGATAAATATGAATCTAATGAACAGGTCCAAAAAGCGATTTTTTTGGGATAATGCAAACAAAATTTGTACCTTAAGTTCAGCAAGATAAAAGAAAAATAATGAACAGTAAATCTAATAATTACCAATATAATTGGTGGAGTCCCATAATGTCGGATATTTTTTTCAAAATTTATACTACTGTTCAAATATTAAATTTAAATTTTAAAGCCAATGCTGTTTACCTTTCTTCTACATTCCTCATTCTTGCTGCATATCAGAGTTATCTCATTAACTATAGTTTCTTATTTCAATGTTATGTTCATGACAAGTAAACAGAGGATATTTGGAGGAGGACTTAGGTGTATGTTTATATTGAATGTATAATTTTCTAAAAAATTAGATTCTCATGAATGAAAATTAAATACACGTTGAAGCTCTCATATCCGGTAACTCCCCCAAAACAGCACTTTTCTCAGAAATTCCTTTACCCAGTAAACCTAAAGAACAGCATAGTCAGATGGTAACATGAATGAAGATTCTACTACCCAACAATCTTCCCATAGCCAGTAGCATCTCGTAGTTTTGCTACAAATCTTTCTGACAGCGTGCCAATCGCTCCAGCCATTCAGTTCATTTGTTTGAATTCACTGTTGAGGAGTGGTTGTGTGCAGTATTTAAGCATGTTTTATTCTACTCTTACTGAACTGCACCATGGCCCCAAATACCGGTACATAAAAAAAAATGGAGGTGAGAGTAAAAGGAAGTGGTCTGTACTATCAATTACAAATAAACTAGTGTGTTTATACTGTAAACAGGTGCAGGTATACAGTGTTACAAGTACAGGTTGTACCTCTCTAGTCCGGCAACCTCGGGACCTGACCTGACCGGTGCCACCCCATGGAAATTCACCCTTTTCCTGGACAGATAGTGACTTGCGCTTACGTTAGCACCACTTTCACTGCTTCGTGGTCTCTTTGAAGACATATTGAAGGGTTAAATGTCGTACACTAGCTTCTCAAATTTCGCGAGTTTTTAATTCAACGTTTTTTATTTGGACACACAAAAAAACACTACATAATTTAAAATTTTGATGGCGGAAACTCGAATTTCGACGGGTTTGAACGGCCCGCCAACGTTCAGACGACATGCACAATCGTGTAAACAGCGTCATTTCTCTTAAGTACAAAAGATTCATTATTGTTTATTACTGAATGTCTTTTTTATTGAATTAATGTTTATGTGTGCAAAATGAGCAATACAATTCATTAATAATACGTAGAATATTAAAATAAAACACACGAGGAAATGAGACAGCATTGTTTTCGTTGATTACAAAACCAGTGACCGAGTGGTTCTACATATAAAACAAGAAAATAAGACCCTAGTTGTAGCTGTAGTAAAATTAATGTAAAAAATTAATATGGTTGTTTTAAGTAATGTTATTTGATGTTAATAACTAGAACAATAAAAGTAGCAAACCATTAATGTAAAAGAAAAAAAGTGAGACTGCGCGTATGGAAGTGAGCACATATGAAAAACATATCGTCATTACTCTACATAAGAATATGAAAGCAACACTTATTTACTGTTCATATATGTTTTAATTAATGTTTCTTATTTTTTTTTACTGAATTAATGTTTGTGTGTGCAAAATGAACAATAAAATTCATTAATAATTCGTGGAATATTAAAACACACAAGGAGACGAGACGGCTGCCGGCATTGTTTTCGTTATGTTTACAAAACCAGTGACTGATTGGTTCTACATATAAAACAAGAAAATAAGACCCTGGTTGTAGCTGTAGTAAAATTAATGTAAAAATTAATATGGTTGTTTGAAGTAATGTTATTTAATGGTAATAAATGGAACAATATAAGTAGCTAACCATTAATGTTAAAGAAAAAAGTGATACTGCACGTATGTAACTGAGCACAGGTGAAAACATATCGTCATTACTCTACATAAGAATATGAAAGCAACACTTATTTACTGTTCATATATATTGAAGGGTTAAATGTTGTACTCTGTAATGTATAGACAAACAGAGAGAGAGAGCCGAACTGCCGGATGTAAACAAACCTTAATTTCCCGCAGCTTTGTTTTTTTTTTTACAGGGATCAGCTGCCTATCTACCTATCGGGCAAACTAAAATCGTTCCGGACCACAGAATGCCGGACTAGAGAAGTACAACCTGTACAAGTACCTGTACATAAGAAATACAACCACCTAAATAAATGCAATTTCCTTCATCCAGCTTGGAGCTAATCCCATGGTTGCCAGATGTGAGAGCTTCAACCTGTATCATGAAATGCTTTGGCATGTCACCACATTTTCAGAACAGATATAAGTAGGACAAGATGGATAATTTTACTTCAAACTTAAAGATGTTCCAAAATTTTGTCATTTTATCATCCTGTCAGAAAGACCAGAACATTTTTAACCAGGAAGTAATACAAGACTAAAAACAAGTACTAGGGACTGTGATTTCCCTTAACCTGAAAAATAATTAACTGAAAACTTCCACAGTACAAAATGTATACAATATTAAATATCTTTCCACCTACACAGTTTCAATGACAAAATATAGCATACTAAAATATATTAATACAGTAGTACAATACTAAATACATCTTGCATACTATTGTACATTACTGAAGACTCTTGAAATTTCTATAGAGAGCACTGGAATTCCATTGAAGACCATTAAAAACTAAAACATATCATAGTAGCTGCTAATCACTAACTATTCCTCAGTACAAAAATACTCTACAAGCCATGTCAATTGGGTTACAGAATTTGACAAAAGCACTGCATTGTATAGTGTAAGGACAACACAATACCTGTATGTCATAGATGCACACAGTAAATTACATTTTACTTAAATACTGTGCTTTGGTATTTTGTACAAGTGCATTTGGTTCCATAAATATGTTGAATTACTGTATCATTAATATACAATAAGGACACAGTGTAAATTTATCACTGAAAGATAAAGACTACAGTAATATCAAAGATATGAAAGTTAGACCATCCTAATTAATCTTCAGTTGTAAATAAATAAGAACAGAAAAAAAAAATATTTTAGCCCTGTAAAGGGATTTCTAAAAAGAATGTCTCCTGTCATATAAGAAAGATTCCAAGATAAATATCTAGCAGTTGCTTCAAAACTGGTTTCTGAAAGCACAACACTAATATGATATGGTTTGTGCATAGAGATGCACAAGTTATACCTTGCACAAACCATAATCATATGTTCTCTACAATTAATGGACCGTAACTCTGCCAAATAACATCAGATTTGCTGAAATAAATATTCATTCAAGAACTTAAAAATATGTTGTTTTGTAGCTTATTTGGTTTATCTCTGATTACTTTGGCAAAAAGATAGCATAAATAATAAGATGTTCAGGGTGAGCACAGTTATCCTACATTCCACCAGTCATGGGAGGCCAGTAACTTCTGAGTTGAGTTTTATCTTTTTCCAACTCTACAAACAGTCAAGCACATACAGTACAGTGCTCTTGTTACTATCTGCGTTATGCTTGTGAAGTCGTGACTTGGCACAAGTACAGTATCTATATTTACTTCAAACATTATTTTCATCTTATCTTATCATTCATTTTTATTTTTTTCAATAGGTTAGCTTTAAGCCCACAGCAGATAAAATCGAAATTACAAGAGAAGATTGGGAAATACTTGTACAGTACAGCTCCTCCCTGACTTACATCGGGGTTAGGGACCCAAATCCAGGTCTTAAGTCGAAATGGTGGTAAGTCGAAAATGCTTAAATAATACATAGAAAATCTAAAATGGGTGTCTCTTTTTCTTCTCAGCACCATAAAACTCTTACTTTTAAGCTTGCCAGCCATTTTAAAGTGAATTACAAACGAAAATTTTGTCGTACACAGCGCAATCACTGATGTTGGGACTTGAAAATAGGTAATTTGACAAAATTTTGGTATGACTGAAGTGGTCGTATGTCCGGGTGGTCGTAAGTCGAGTAGGAGCTGTATAATAATAAATATTTTTTTTGGAAGATGCATCAAACTTGCCTGAATTGTATGCTTTGGTTATAAATGAAACTATCAGAACCAGTTGTTCTGGATTAAAACCTAGATGAAGATCATTCAAAACTATGCTGCCATACACACTAGTTGTTTTACACTGATCATGTTTAGTAAAAAGAATGGGCAGAGTCAATATCAGTGTTTTGAACTGTTTTTAGATATTAAATTAAACCGTAAGTCTTTCAACAACTAGTTACTAAAATTTAAGAAATAAATATTCTATGACTGTACAGTAGCACAATTATGCAATGTAATAAATAAAAGTTAAGTACTGTATTTGTATGATCTGGCACTATATACAGGTATTCCTTGCTATACAAATTGGTTCGGTTCCTCAAAACCAAGAAAACCCCCAATATTATACCTAAAAATAATGATATCAGTTCACACACACACACACAATAAAACCCCACCCTACCTATATACTGTAAAATAGTACCTAACTATGCTATACAAAATAGTACCAACACTATAGAATTAATACAGGTACTGTAAAATATAAATTTGGTACATAACCTTAAGTGAGAGCAGTAAGGGCTGAGTAAGTGCCACCATTCATCTAAGTGAGAATAGCTTTCATGTATGTAGTAGTAAGAGGTGTAAGAATAGAATATTCATATAAGCAAATATTCGTAAAGTGAACGTTCATATAGCAAAGGATACCTGTATATCAATGTCTCTTCCCCACCTATGTATACAGCAAACTTTAAGAGAATTATTTACCCAAATATCTCCTCTTATTTCTCATGTACCGTATATAACAGACAGGAGAGAAGGCTAATTCCAGGTTTTAATTCTCCAAATATATCAATATGCTTTGATCAATCTAGTTAGACACTGATTTCAAGAATTGTAGTTTGATATACTGTAATGCCACTTTCTTTAAATATACTTCTCATCTGGAGCCATCAAGACACATGTGAATTATCTGCTGTCACCAGTATTTCATGTACATTACAGATTTAAGTAAATACAGGAAGCATTAACAAGCAGTTCTCATATCACATTAACCTGTAGACAATAATACAGGAACTCTGCTACAATTGTTGTGGCAACAAAAAGATAACTGATCAAGTACCTATCCCACATCCCCTACAGCTTCTTCCAGAGATACAAAGGCACACTGTACTTGAGAGAACAAGGCAATACTTGTACTTCAAGGCTGGTTTGGATCATCATGGACGGAAAGGTGTAAATTTAAGTACGATAACATATTCTCCGATCTAAGCCGAAGTCTCTCTGCTAAGGTAGTGGCCTCATCTAGGGAAACCATCAGTTCCTGAGCACTACCCTGAAATAGAATGAAGTCTTTCAGAAACAAAGAAACATGAATGCCAAGTAAAACCTAATATTTTTCAGTTATCCATCTGCCTCTTTTTCTTCCCTGCTGTCCCTGAAAATTTTTCTTGTAAAAGGCAAGACTACCAGAAATACAGATGTTTAAATAAAAAAAAAAATTCAAAACATAAAAGTTAAATACATCTACTGTACTGTACTGTAATATAAATATTTAAGACCAGATCTTCATACCGTGTTATATGGTATAAACACAAAAATTCCTCCAAAAATTTGTACTGCAAAAATAAAAATTTACTGACTTGTCCATTCAAATATTCTTTCCTAGTTGTATACCCTCAACTAAGAAGCTCTTGTTTCTGTGCCTTCCTGGGTTGGAGAATTGGTCCAGCATGCCTTATCCCTCGAGGCAGCTAGCTTTGCAAAAAAAAAAAAAAAAAAGCCTTTCAACCTAATCTACACTAAATTTGAACAATGAGAAGTTTTATTCAACATACGCTTCTCCTGTGTTTACGATGAATGCTGCCATGTTGTGAACTCTTGTGTTTCCCCGTGTCATCAGGACAAACCTTAGATGTCTCACTTCCACAACTATAAAATATATAATTTACAGTGCTTAACAGTTAAACAGCCTGGTACAGAGAGATTAAATACTCTAAACAGTAAAGATACATATACTCTGTACAGTAATCCTGCGTTTTTCTCTGGGTTTTTTATCGCGGTTTTGACCATTCGCTGTTTTTTTACAAAAAAATTATATATATATAAAATATCCTTTAAAATTTATTTTTTAATTTTGCGTCATTTTCAAAATACCAGTGCGGTGCGGCAAACAGACGCCTCTCTTTCCCGCCTGACACCCGCTGCTCCAAGAAGTCTCAGTCCACACGTACCTACCGTACTGTGAACGCTACTGTGATTACCTCTTCTGTTTGTTCTCCCACGTGCATTCCACATGGCTCCAGGACGTAAGCCAGCCTCATGAAAGGCAAATATTACTAGCAAAGACTCTAAAGTGACCAAGAGATCAAGAATAGTGATGACCTTAACGGATAAAACAGTTTTACTGGACAAGCTCAGAGGTGGTATGAGCTATGACAATTCATTTGTGTCTTTTGTCAGAATACAAGTCTTCAAGTGGAGGAATGTGGGTGGAAGAGGACTGGCTGGCTGAAATGACTGCGTGAGGGCGGGCAGATGCCAGGACAGCAGGTGGTAGGTAGCTACCAAACAGGGAGGTTTTTTTTTTTTTACGTGGATTAGCCCACCCGGGCACAGGTCACTGACCCACATCAGGGCCTGGGGGATGTAATAAAAATAAAAATACTAATAATAATAATAAACCATAAAGAAATACAAAAATGAAAAAAAGATCAAGAGTGAGAAACAATATATTTATGTTGTGTTGTCAATGGTAAGAGAAACAAATGAGACCCTGCAATTGTGTGTAAATGAGGCAGAGTCAGATCAGCAACCTGAGACTTGGTCACAATTTTTGTAATGCCATATGGCAGCAGGGTCTACCATAGACAACACAATATGCTTCCAATATCTTCCCAGGCAGTAGTACCTCCCTGTTTGGTAGCTTTACTACCGCCTGGGAAGATATTGGAAGCATAATGTGGTGTCTAATGGTAGACCCTGCTGCCATATGGCATCACGAAAAATTGTGACCAGGTCCCGGGTCGCTGATCTGACTTTCTGCCTCATTCATACACAATTGCAGGGTCTCAATTGTTTCTCTTACCATTGACAACACAACATACATATATTGTTTCTCACTCTTGATCTTTTTTTCATTTTTGTATTTCTTTATGGTTTATTATTATTATTATTATTATTATTATTATTATTATTATTATTATTACATTTTTGCCCCCCAGGCCCCAATGTGGGTCAGTGACCTGTGCCCGGGTGGGTTAACCCCGAAAAAAAAAGAAAAAAAAGAGACTGGCAATGCGGGTGTTGCCGACCTCAGCGAAATAATTTTTTTTTTTTATTTACTTGTAAATAATTTGTTTTGCATATAACTGTGTTAATGTTTTTCCATTATTAACTACAATATGATTAGTTTAAAAAAATTATGTTAGTAAATGCCGGTACAGTGCATCAGAGATCAGTGTGACCACTGGGCCGTGAGTGGAGAGCATGGCGTGGTTAAGTGCATGACCTACCTGAGCTGTTTGGTGGCCACAGGTACAGTGATTCCTAAAAGAGTATTCGCGGTTTTAGCTTTTCGCAGGGTTTCAGGAACGTAATTCCCGCGAAAAACAAGGGATTACTGTAGGTGTACAATTCTCTAAAAAAAAATCCATTTTTTATACTAAATGGAATAAAAGAATCAACATGCAGTATACCTAAATAAACATTATAGGTATAAATTTTCTCATCTGCACACTTCCAAACTTTACTATTACTGTACGTATATGTAATTCCTATTGTGACTATCCCAACAACTTTAACATCTGTATACAGTACAGGTATAATATTTCTAATTGGTTATCTCTTCATCATTGAATGAACTTAAATTCAACTTTGGTTCCATCTCCATTCTTTCTATATAGTATACTATGGGCTGGACTGAGTTGTATTGCGTCATTCCTACGCTCAATATACAATAAAAGGAGATAAATAAAATTCTCCTACCCGTGAAGCTTAAGACAATGTAAATGTAGAGGGTAGGATGCAGTTACTATTATTTAATACTATAATGTAAAGAGAAGTTGCTTATAATACAGCTATATCTGGAGGTTATTTTAACTATCATCCCATCCTGTATACAGTTACTGTACTTGTTATATACGAGTCATCATCCTAACTTCTTGCAGTACAGTGTACAGTATTTGATAAAGAAATATAATCAAGGCTCTGCTTTGACAAGTTAAAGTTAGATAATAATGAGATAACATTTTATCAGCTGTTAAAGATAAGGATGCTTCATGACAATGAACTATTTATTAAAATATTTGACAAAATCATTGCTAATGGATATTTCATTTTCTGGTTAAATTAAAAAGCCGGTGGGGGAAGCTATTTATATATACAGTATATATATACACAGTACAGGTACTGTATTTGAATTAAAATACGTACTAGTAGTATGATGGGAGAAAATGGACCGAGTCCTGATCATAAGACAACTTTTATATCAGTTAAAGTGTTGGACAAGCACTTTCCATCATCTACAATATAATGCCAAATCTGTCAATGCCCCTGTCAGATGCTTCCTGCAACTGTGATTAATACCATGAAATTCAGCTGAGAAACTCACTGACAGAACAATAACAGTGACACCATGATTCAATATCCAAAGAAAATATATAATTTTCTGGAAGACGATTTTGTACAATAAAAGTTTTCTTTTAGCTGTGTCATGACATTTACACTACACTTAAAATCTTGAGATGAAAAATACTTAATAATGCTATGAGTAATTTTTCTGTTAAATCCCTCGCATCTTGGCAAAACCTAAGCAAATTCAACAGGAGATGTTTCCCTTTGCTTTATTCCCTAACATCTCTTGCAAAATTTCAAAGCAAAATTCATATGGACATAAAAAGAGACATATAGAGTCCACTAATTATGGAAACCGTCAGTATGCATTAATAACATACAATAAAACAACAAACTGTTTAACTAGTATGAGCTTATACTATGCACTGTACTCAATGAATTTAGTTATTCTTGCATCAAAATTATCACTTATTCATCTCACAGTTCATTACATCGTTTGTGTGGTTGTCACTAAACAGGATGACCTTTGGACACAAGCTACAAGCTTTGTCTGTTTGCACTAAATTCATATGACATACCAACAAATTATTTACCTAGCATTAAGTTATACCACAATTCAAAAGACAATCATTCTCACATCACCATTATCACTTATTCAATGAGGCAAATAGTATCAGATCTCCACAGTGATGGAATACCTTACAAGTTAGCTTCTAAATTCATTTATATGGAAATAATGTCTTCATTCACATTTATGTTTTTATAAATAATTGATTTTCCTCTACACCATACACAAGGAAATTAAGTCTCAACTCTTATATAAGATTCAACCTGAGAACAAGACATAACTACTTTCTGTCTACAACTATCATTCTAAACATATGATCTCTAATACTGCACAGTACTCTTAGACAGGCAATGCATAAAAACTTACTTGTAGTTATGAATGTATATGACTGGTGCTGTTGTACTTAGGCGGTGATTTTCAGAAACTTGGACAGATTGGTTTTCCTGGACCTTGGCCTGAGTAACGTCAGTGATAATTTCTTCATTAGATGTTTGTATTGGCTCCCTATTTTCTGTTTGAACTGATGCATGTTTCGAGCAAATGTGGCCAAATGAAAGAGTCTTCAAGGTCCGTTTATGATCTGTCATATGTTGTTTAGTTCCAGTATTTTCTATATTACCTGCTTGAGATTCTTTCCTTTTAAGTCTCTCTCTATGTATTTTGATCTTCACTGGACTAGAAGAGTCTTTTTTTCTCTCTCTGGAATTACTTTTTTTGTTCTTAGGAGTGCTCGTGGGTATGTTATCCATCTTAGAATTAGCAAATAGAGATTCTGATAACCTCTCTAAAGAAGAGTTTGAAAATTGGATACTTGTATCTTCTTGAGAATCCTGGTAGTTCAAGTCTACTGGAGATTTGTAATGATTATGAAAATCCTCACTCACATTTTTATTTTTAGTTTTGGTATGTGTAGTAGTCCTAGATCTGATACTTCTATGCATTTGATCTTTAGAAGCTTGTACATGAGATAGTCTTGGAGGTGTGATGTATGAATCATGTTCTGAGTCTTCTGAATAAAGAGATACATCCAGTGCCTTAAGTGGGTTTTGTCTCCTATTCATTTTGGAAGTTTTATTACTTGAACTTGTTTGGCTCCCTTCTCCTTTGGTTTTCTTATTGTGGAAGACTTCACTCGTGAGATTCATCATCTGTGATTTTATAATATTCAAATCTCGTTTTAATTTAGATATATTGTTATAAATATTTGAGGAAGAATTTCGAGAGCTTGTAGACATCTCTGACTGATCAGAGATATTTCCACTGACAAATCTTGCACTGTATTTATAAGATTGTGTTTGTTTTTTTGGATTCTGGTTAACAGGGGAAAAGATAACATTATTACCTTGATTCTGTTCTATACCTACAGACGAGGACATTTTACTGCCAGTCTGCCATTCTTTACTTTTTACCTTTCCCTCAACAGTTCTTTTTTCAGACTCTTTCTGAGACATTCTCCTTTGTTGTACATATGATGTATTGTTGTTAAACTCACCACCTTGGCTAAAAACATCTTCATTAATTTTCGTGTCCTTCAGGTCAGAGTTATTGCTCTTTGTTCCCCTTCGAGAATCATTTCTTACAATGTGGTCATCATTGAGGAGTCTCTCATGTCCAGTTTTCTGTGTGACATCTTGTGATTCACTGTGTCCATAGTACTGACCTAATTTGTTTTTTGAGCTGCCTTTGCTACTCCTGCTGCCAGATAAAGTTCTGCATTTTCTAGTAATGTCAGTATCCACCGATTCTCTAATTTGGCATACCTCAGATTCAGGAAAAGCCATTTCAATAAGGTCACTTGATGGTGCTGCATCAGCATGACATTCAGAATTTTTGTCTCCACAAAATGTATGAGTACTACTCCTAGATGCAAGTTTATCAACAGCCTCATTGTAAATGCAATCACTAACATATTCTTCATTCTCAAATGAGCATTTTTGTGGGTCTTTTATCCTTATTATTGATTGTAAATTAATGTTACTTGTGGCATCTAAGCTGGAAAGAAAATTTGGTATATCAAGCTGCTCTGGCTGATCTAAACTAGCATTATGACTCATCCTTGTGCTCTGCTCTGAACCAGGACATCCACTGTCAAGGTCACGAACTTTAATCGCCTTTCCCCATGGCAGGCGAGGGGTTACATTGTTACTCCTCCAAGAACACCTGGGTAAATCACTCTCTAATTTTGGAGAGCTGCAGTCAATACTGTGGCCATGGTGATGAGTCATCTGTTTATTTTCTACAACAGTAGCATGGTCTAGTGGGAGGCTTACACCAGTTCTGTTGCGATATTGAGCAGAGTCAAGATGGAGGTTGGTCAGACTATTGTTTGGATCTTCATGAATGTCAAAGGGTTGACTGGAATTCAGCGATAGCATGGAAGGCACTGGACTGGTACTTGAGGACTCATATGCGGTATGAGGCACTTCTGGATCAATCAGTGATGCCTGCCATAACTTTACCTGATACAAAATAAAGAAAATTTATAATTTAAAAATTATTAATTCAAAATCGGGGTTGACGGGTGTCTTGTTCAAGTAGTTTTAAAATTATATGAGGGCACAAAAATCACTGTGAGAGTAAATGGTGAGGAAAGTGAGGAATCTGTTGCATGCTGATGACTTAGTGCTAATTGTAGATACCGGAAGTTATGAAGTGGTAGAGGAGGAATTTAAGAATTGGTATGGGTGATTGGGTGAGGGACCAAGGGTGAAAGTGGAAAATGGCCATTTGGTGTCTGTAAGAAATGTGTTGACAGCAACTCAATAATGTGCAATGAGTGGAAGGTGCAGAGGAGTAGATGACAGACTGCAGGACGTTGTTTACTTTAAGTGTCATTTATTCACAAGTAAACATGTGGCCTTAGCAAGGCAGGGGAACTCAACATTGGGGACATATCCCTGGACTGTGTAAATAAGTTCTGCCATCTGGATAACATGACCAGTGAGAAGGCAATGCGAAAGCTAGATCAGTTGTAAGAGTTAGAAGTAGTTGGAGAGTGCTTAGGGAGTTGCTGCTTTCATTAACAAAAAGGGAACATTCCCTGTATGAGAGGAAAGATGTCTGTAACTGGCAAGAGAAGTGTGATGTTGTATGTCAGTCAACCATGGGTACTTAAAGACAATACATGCAACTTCAGCGAACTGAAATGAGAATGGTGAGATGAATATGCAAAGTGACAATGAAAGACAAGAAACCCTGTTCAGACTTAAGAGAGCAGTTGGGTAGTGAGACTATGGGTGAAGTCTTGTACAGAAGTAGGCTGAGATGGTTTGAGCACATGGAGGGAATAGTGAAGAATAACTGGGTCAAGAGATGCATGAATAGAATAGTGGAGGGGAGGAGAGCTAAGGGGTAAGCCAAGAATGACAAGGGGGGATAGATAGTAAGAAATAACACGAGTTAAGAACCTGACAAGAAAGGCTGCAAGAGATTGAAGCGTGGAAAATGGCCAAAAAAAGTTGACGATGGCGATAATGATAACCTTAGGATAGTTAACCGTCTGTATTACCATCTATTAAATAGTAAATATAGAGAGAGAGAAAGAGAAAAAACACACTTGCCTTCTCCAGAGGTCCAACAGTCTTCATGGATTCCCTTGAATGTGCTGGACTACAAGCAGCCAAAGGACTAATGTCAATCTTATCTGTGCCAGAGGGACCTTCTAATATATGAGGGATCAACCCCACCACTGGTACAGTTTCTTGAATGTTATTATTTTTCTTAAAATCATTTTGATTAATTGAAGTGGGAGGATCTGTAGACACAGCAGGAACATCACTTCTCTTACTCTTCGGAGTTATAATGTTCTTTGAACTTGTTTTCAGCTTAATATCTATTTCTGAACCATGCTCTTCCTTTTTCAGTTTTACTGAAGAATATTGTAATGGTGTGTGGCTCCTTTGCTCATGACTTAGGCGACCATTCTCTTGATTATTTTCAGTTTGAGTCTTATGCACCTCACTTTCTAAATTAAGACGTGGTTGTTCACTTACATCCCTGACAATTTCTTTGGTTCCAATTTTTCCTCTACCATCTTGATTAAATTTCCTAAACTCAGCAGAAAGGTTTTTTATATGGTTTTCATTCACTCGCCTCTTATCAACCCCAGAAACTGTGTTTGGGCAAGACACAGTCACCTCACCCCCCTTTTGACATTTATCAATTACAAGATCAAGATCAAACCTAGAAGCAGTGGCCTGTAATGCCAGTCCAAGTTCCTGAAGCAGCTGGCCTGACTCTTTTGCAGGTGCCAGGAGTGTCAGCATTGGGAACTGTGATGACAAACACCAGTACTGTAAAAAATAAAAAATGTATATTAGCATATATCAAAATTTAAATTATATTTATTTGTTCTTTCTATCATATTGCCACTTATCAGCTTACTAGCCTTTTGGGCAGCAGTTGGTCTCTCCAATATAAAACGGAAGGAAACTGGAGTCTGGGAAACCTGTGATGTTTGGTCATATTGGATAGCACCCTCCTCATATATGTAGCTATACTGTGTATTGATTCATGAAATCCCAATTTTGTGAAACAGGAAATGAGTATACAAGTAATATGACCTGCAAGAGTCTACCACCAAGCACCTATGGGTAAAGCCTGCCTGTGACCACAAGGTATGCAGCACTTGATGATAGTGGGTGTTATCTGAAAGTACAATGTAATTAAACAACTGATAAATGCATCATAGCTTACCTAGCAATTTAGTAAAACTATATGGATCCAGTTGCTGCCTTAACTACCCGAGGGGAATCAGTTTAGAAGTTGAAATTCTTCGAGAATGTTCACTCTGAGACCCCAATCACTCCTAGGAGAGTCCAAGTTCCTTGCCTGTTCAGGAATTCCTTTAATGCAAGTAAGAGGGAATCCAATTCCTTTAGACATCTTCCTGGCTACAAAATAGGAATTTCAAACCTAAATCCTTCATTTGTAACCTATAACCCATAAACCAAATTGGGAGAATGAGAAGAGGTGGTCATATGCCAAGTGAAGAACCCAAATGCACCCAAAATAAGGAGCAAACCTCTCACAAGAAAGAACAAAATTGGACTCTCATTCTGTGCTTTCCAGTACTGTACTTACACTACATAAAAGGAAGTCAGAAGCTCTTCTTTCAAACATCTTTTCACAAGATGCTACCAATGAAGAAGCAAAATTCCTTGGGTCCTGCACCATAGCAATGAGATTAGGTTGTGGGACCTTGACCACTTTTGTCATGTGAGAGATATTTTCTTATGTTAAGCCAATGATTCAAAAGCATTCATGTTGAAAGGTCTAATAACACTATGAAATAAAATACAGTTATAGGAAAAACTGAAATTCAAAATCATGAGGGAAAACAGTTACCACTTTTTCCAGAAAAGTTTTTTCCTGATCCGTCACCAAATGATTGAGGGAATACAAACTACTATACCAACTTGTTTTACATCAAAGGCTGACTCCTCCAAACAGAGACCAAAATAAACAGGCAGTGTTGTACGCGTCAACGAAAAAAAGTGGCCCTGCCAGCATAAACAGCCGAGAAATTTGATGCCGTCAGCGTCAGCATAAACGATTTCATAAATTGACGCCGTTAGCGTCAGCATCAACGAGTTTTCAGTGGCGTACAAATGCAGCCCCGAAACGCATATTCTCCTGTGTATGGGAGTAACATATGCAAAATAAAAAATATTCAATCATTTTTACGCGTATTCTCCTGTGTATGGGAGTAACATATGCAAAATAAAAAATATTCATTCATTTTTAATCATTTATTATGATTTATATTATATCAATTTAATTATTCATTTGTTCCCCCGCAAGAATATTAGCATCTCAAAATGCTTGTCGCTCATTCTGCTGTGCTTGGGCCTCAAGACGTCCTTGCCCATGAAGAACATGCACCCCATGGCAGCACTAGAGGGGATGGGGGGTTGTATTTGATGAACAACTCCCTCATGGACGTCTTTATAACAAGATAATTGAAAATCAAACTTGGAAAAAAAACAAATTTTGAAGTTGAAGAACAAATTGATACTTGACACTCCGCTCGGGTGAAAAGTTGACTGCGTCACCTATAGCGTCACCTGTCCAAAAAATTGATGGCGTCAGCGTGAACAAAAAGTTGCCGCCGTCCATTGACGGCGTTAAATTAACAGTGTCAATGTACATCACTTTAAACAGGGTGGAACATCTGTGTATAATGATCTTATTTATACAGTACAGTATAATTTACTGCGCAGATACCAATTACTGGGTAACTAAAGACAGATCAACAAACAATGACTATATCCCCTGAGTGTTTCCAGTCTGGGGTTATAATAAAAAAAAATGGATGACACAAACAGAACATACTGTACAATACCTGCTGTAGGATACTATGCCAAATGATGTTTCTTTCACTGTGTTGTAGCGCAGCACTTCCCTCCAGTAAGGCAAACTCTTTTACCTGTAATATATGAATCAAAATGTAGATAGAGTACCAGTACTAACTCAGTATTGTACATACTGTACTGTATAAGCGAATAAATTACTGTAAGTGCGTGTGACCCATGTATATGCTGATAACCACAAAGGAAACAAGAAAACATGATTGGGAACTTCACGTTTTCTTGTTTCCTTTGTGGTTATCAGCATACTGTATACTGTACAGTATAAGATATTACTTCAGATTTGTAATAAGACATACATGATAGCTGATACAGTTTAAGTGATTGATACTAATATTCCCACATGTAATACTATGGAATTCAGCAGTCATAGGAGGTCAGAGGTAATACTGCAGGCAAGTACTGAGCTTGTCAAAAGTATAAAGAATATTGTAATCTCATTATGACTTCTCACAATATGTTAGAAATCTATTAATAACAATTACTGTACAGTATTATAAAAATCAATGATCTTTATTATTTTGCAAGTGTTTCTTTTCCTTCAGCTGATCTAGTCACTACTGTACTGCACATGATGGAGAAACTCTTCATTTTCTCATATACAGGTACTGTATCTCAACTTAAAGAATGCATACATAAAGAAACTAATTTTTGCCCAAATTAAACAGAAACCAATACCCGGTATTATTAAAGTGATCTGTGTGCCGGGAAAAAAATCTGGAGCAGTACTGTACACTGTATGTACGAGAAGTCTGATACAGTACAGTACAGTAATTATCTAAATGTACCTCAAGTAGTTGGATGAAAATACAGTATCTTGAATGTTTAAGGAGTAAACTTTTATACTGTACAGTGCTGTATAATGAATGAAGAAAGAAGCTAATACCGAATTTCTTCATTTTAAATATTGTTGGTACGTAGCTACTGTGCTAACTTTCAGAATGAAATGTACAAGTACTGTATATTTTATAATCAAATACAAACAAATATTAAAATCACTAGCAGTTTTATGGCAATGAAACAATTTGGTATTGATTCCAATTATTAAAAAAGAGAGAATTTTGTACGTTGAGTTACAGTACTGTACTACATCAAGACCTGTTCCTAACAAAGATTAATTCATTGGTGAAAAACTGCAAGCTTAAGACAAATGGAAAAGTGTACAATATAGTGATTAACATACTGTACTTAAAGGTGTTCTGTATTCAAACATTCTCCAGAACTAGAAGAAAAGTTGAGCATGAATCACTTGTATTAGATTATATTCATTAAACGTGAATCACATTTACTGAATAAGAAGTGCTGCTATAATAAATTTTCAATACTGTACTTCATATAAACAGTTTCTCCATAATTATTGTATCAACTTACCCTCTTTAAAATGTTGTTAGCATCCTTCATCCACGACTGTAGAGAGACTCCTTCAAGGGAAGATTCTGTCCTTTCCAAGTCCTTGTTTTTATCTTGGTCAGCTTCCGGAGAATGATGATCTCTTGGTGCATCCCTTGGAAGGCTGTCTTGGAGTACACAGGAACTGCTCGGGTCATAGGCAAAGTTCCAGTTTGGATCCACAATGGGTGTGGAGGTGTTCTTAATGAAGTTGAAGCAGGTTAAGGTAGGTGACAGAGACCTTATGTTTGGTGTGTTTGGGGGAGTCACTTGGTAAGACGATCTCCTCCCTGATAAGTTTGGTGAGCTAAGATAATGGTGCAGTGATCTGCTTGGTGTAAGTGGAGGCGTTTCATTATGTGAAGATCTACCACTATTATCTCTCCTTTCTTCTTGAGTCTTAATAGTAAAAGAGTACTCCTTATTAATGTGTATATCCTTGTGAAAACGAAGTCGGTCAATTTCATTTTGCTTTTCGGCAAACATAGCATTCAGGTTATCATAACGTAGTTGCAGAGCAGCAAGAGTAGTATCACTCGCATAGCGTGATTTTCGTTCACAAATCAATAATTTCAGAATTTCCTCGAGCCTTTTAGGATCACCCTTTTCCCCAATAATCTGGTCTCTTATCTTTCTTATATCATGTGGCATCTTCTCTTCATTATACTTTGATAATTCCCTTAATAGCTTTTCATCCAAAACTATTGCTTCATTAGTTACCAGCTGCATTTTCTTTCTTGCTGGAGTAGAAGGAAGAGATCTCGTAGAATTTCTCAAATCTTTATCTTTCATATCCTTAATATATTGTCGAACTTTACTTGTGACTTGACTATAGTCAACTTTCTTGGAACTGGCTATGCTCGTCATACTGGAGCTCCTAGACCTATTTAATTTGTTTAAGCTAAAACTCCTGTTTCTTTTTAAATTGACATGATTCTCTTCCTCATTCAGAGCTATGGCACTGATACACCGACGGTTCAAATTACCCTGACCTCCAGACTCAGACCCACATCTAATTTTCTGCTTAGGAATAGGGCCTGGAGACAGAGACTTTGCTCTCAGGCAGTTCCCCTCTAAATTATCACTGCTTACACTTATAGACCGATTATGCAATCCCTGATTTCTTGATCTTGGTCCATAGTTTGAAGCTAAATTATGAAGACTTCTGGATGAATTGCGGTGTAAAGAGGCTCGCAAAGGACCAGGAATCTTAGTTGTGGGAGACAAGGGTGGTGTGGCATTCTTCTCCATTGTCTTGTCAAATTTGATGTTACTGGTTAACATTGGTAGTTTTGATTTTGTTCCAGGTTTGGAACTATACTGGCCAACTACTATAGTTGAACTCTGACTAGAATGTGGATGCACAGATTCACTGCTTGTTTGTATTGAAACCTGTGTTTGTACTAAGCTTCCCCCTTGGACAGAGGAAGTACCAGTAAACTGACTAGAATCATCATGAACTATGTTAAGGGGAAGGGATGGAAAGTGTTTTCCACTTAGGGGACCTATGGCACTTGCTTTGGTCACTTTCTGTTCATTATTTTGGCACTCATTTCCAGATATAGTATTATTACCTGTCTGTTCCAAAGAATTCTGAATGTAAGCAGAACACAAATCAGACTCGCTTTCTATTCGAGAGTTCTGATTTTCGCTTTCCTGCCCTGACTCTTCTGTTCTCTCTGTTATGGCTGAGATGGGAGACTTGCTTATAAATTCTAGGACAATCTCACTAGCATCAGAGAACTCATCATCAAATATTTCATCTCCAGAATGGTCAAAATCAATATTGATAAGTTCATCACAAGATTCATTTTCTATGCTTAAAAGGAATTCATTCCCACTAAGACATTCAGAATCTTCTGGGACACCTTTCTCTTTTCCTTTGTCTGACGGTGATCCACAAATACTATCTTTTTTAATGGCATCACCTGTTCTGATCTCTAAATTACTCTCCCTTCCATCACAAGCATCAGAATGTAAACTTGATGCTGTTTGAACAATGCTTTCTGACAAGTGACTCATATTTTCAGCTTCAAATAAAGTAGAATGAAGGCTGTCAACACCATCTCCATGTTTTGGGGGAATTTTGACCACCTTGTCATTGGAGAGGATAACTTCATCATCTCTGTTGTCTTCTGGACTTATATTATGACCAATTGAGATTTTATTTTCTAAGGATTCTGAGAGGCTATTTCTGGAGGTACAGCCATTAACTTTTCCACTACTGGCACAAGATATTTCAGCTAATTCAGGAGGCTCTGAAATATTAGGATCGGTTGCTTTTAATACCGTGTCTTCAATCACAAGTAAGTCATCACTTTCTTTATCTACACAATTTATCACATTCTGTTCCGATTCTTGTGGAATATCTTCATCTTCTACTTCTTCTTCTGTGTAATATGTGGTGGCTTCATCTATGACATTACGACTTTCATTACTGTTATCTCTCTGTTTAGTATCTTTATTTATACAACTTATCGCATCCTGTTCTAATTCTTTTGGCATATCTTCTACTTCTTCCTCTGTGTCATATGTGGTGGCTTCATCTATTACATTTATATTTTCATTATTGTCATTTCCCTTTTTACTATATGTCCGCATGGACTTTACTGGTGAGGCTATGCTTGAAATACTGTGTGAGAATGAGAATTCACACTCACTCTTATCCTTTACTCTTCCTTTAGGGAATTCTTTGCCTTTATCAATCTTATGTAATGATTCTTTTAACTTAGTTTTATGGCATGGAGTGTTCTCCTTTTGACTTGAGCATAAAAGCTTCATTACCTTTTTTGCAGTTTCTCTAAAAGTGATATTTTCTTTGTTCTTTAGAATCTTTCTTTCTTCAATAATTACTTGTGAGTCCGGTAATGAGACTCTTGACAAACAAGCATCAATTTTTTCCACAGAAGCCTTTACTCTGGGAGATAATTGACCAAGCTTCCTGAGTGAGTTTTTTGAACCTATGTCGGAAGCATGTTCCCTTTTTTCTTGCCAATCAAAATGACATACCATACTAGACACACAATCTTTACTGGCACATGAAGCAGAGCTCTCCTCTGATACTGGAGGCCTTTGCTTACCATGCTGTAATGATATTAATGAATCACATTCTACAGACGTACCTTGGAAAAGTTCTACAGGTAAAGAGTGTCGCCTGGGAGCTGATTCAGTAGGTTTATCACTTGTTTCCTCAATGTCACAACTAAATTGTTTAACTAAGCTGCTAACTTTATGAGCAGTACCTAAAGAAAAGACACTTAACTTTGGAATACTAACTGATACCTCACTCACTGATCTGTCTTTAATGTATTCACAATTACTGCCAGTGCTGTGAGTTCTGAAACTTTCAACAGACCAGTCACTGGATACTGGAGAAGGATCTGCAGAAATTAGCTTATCACTTCCTGAAATGCCCTTAAAAATTTGAGGATACAGCTGTTCACCCTTGTGCTGGAATAAAGATTTACGTGGTTTCTTTGGCACCACCTCCTCCTCTCCCGCCTCTTTATCTCTTGAGCCATTTTCATTTTTTTTTACCAAAAAATCCTGAAAATTATTTCCTAAATTATCATTATGACTCTCAGCACCTGTAGAGAGAGACTGTGTATTCACAATTCTTTTGTACTCATCTCCTGAAGCAGCTTCATTTAAACTCAACCAGTTGTCAGCAGTGGTTGTTTCCTCTTCCTGTACATCTATAAGGGAGAACACAAGGGATTCTCCTTTTGATTCAGAGAGGCTCCGTGCTGCTTCTTCACTGTGCTCATAGATTTCTTCTTCAATTTCCTCTGCTGTGTCATCATCACTCGACATTAGGCCATATTCTCACCATCCCAGGGATTTCTGGAAAGGTACCGTATTATTGGTGAATTTTTGAAGAAAAATTAAATTACTTATTTCAAAACATTCATCCAATCAACAAATTTATCAGTTTATCAAAATATAATTAACATGGTAAAGGATTTCATATTGCAATAAATCTAGAATGTGCATGAAATAAAAAAGCAATTTTATCCTACCATATTGAACAAACATATACTGTACAAGTCTCTCATGAGCTAATAAAGTTTTGTATGAAATTACATCAAGATGTTATCATATCTCATTGAGCAGTTAATTAACTTCACTATAGATGAACCTTTTTGACTGTCCTGTATACAGTATTAACATGTGTACAGTACATAAATGTGCAAATGATTGAAGCAGAGTTCTGCACGTTACCTTCTATTTAAATTCCACAAGATATTTTTCTAAATCTTAACACCGAAATCACACTGGGTGCCACATTTACCAAGATAAGCTCTTCTCATATCTCCCTATAATTAATTAACAGATAAAAGTCTCCACCTCCACATTACATTAAAACTTTGTCACTTGTGTGTTATTATTTTCTACACCAAGAGTGTAGATTCTTTCTCAAATGAGGATAGTGTACAGTACAGTAAACAATTTTTATAACAAACTAACACCATAGCCTAAATACAGTAATACAGCATTGAGATTTGTTCTGCTAAAATCACAGTTCAAATTTGTAATGATAAAGGAGAGGATTCTGGGTTAACCAGCTATCTACTGAAAAATCTCAATACCTGTAGAAGAAAACTACTGTACAGTACTTTTTTCCTCAAAAATAAACCAAATTTGGTGGAGAAATTACACTTTTCGTATTTTGTTTTCCCCTAGTTTTTCCTGTACTGTACTGTATATAAAGATGCTCTGTACCTGTTGTCTGCTTCACGACACCATGTTTGCACTCCAACTGTTACAGCCAACTGACCCAAAATGTTAAGCTACGGAATGCTTCACAGTCAGAATGAACTTCTTTTCCATACCAATCTTCCTAAGCAAACCTAACATAACCTAAAAAAATAATATACAATATCTGTACTTATCTACGATAAATCATAACACCGTATATACTGTACAGTATAATGTAATAACATTCACTGGAGGTGTTCGCATGTATGGAAAGGACACTGCTGCTAGGAAGAGTGCTTGTATCACCAAACTAATATTACCCAGTACCGTACAGTATTACCAAAATCACAAATCCTATTATTTGTCCTATTTGGGGATATTTTTAGTCTTAATGTAAAAGAAATTATCATCATCATCTAGATAATAATTTTCTAAACATCCTACTGTTGTTTCTTAGTGAGTATGAAACAGAATAGCATTAGTACTGTAATGTCTATGAAACATTTCTCCTCTTCACATAAACAATTGAGAGAAGCACAACAAACAAACATGATGTTATCCTCAGGTGGCTAGCACAGAGCACTTTCATTTAAGAGAAAAATTAGGGGAAAACAAATACGAAGTGCTTTTCTGTTACCCAAATTTGCTTTATTCTTGAGCGAAGAAATAGGCTATGTTTTCAGAACAGCATAATATAACACTGTACTTACAATGGTTGTGCCCCTTAACCAGCAATTTGAAGAAATTATTCTACAGAAGATAAGTGCTTTCATGTAAAGCTCCCCAAAATGTGAAAGATTAAGCTTCTCGAAATATTATTTAAAAAAAAAAAAATCCATTCTATTCTATGCTCGCATGCGAGGGGACATATCCATTGTTTAAGCTGTAAAAATATTATTACAAAAAACTTATTTCTACACATCTTTTTGGGCTCGGTAATATTATACCTGTACAATATAAGGACAATGGTCAAAGTTAACCAGCCACCTATTGAAAAATACCTAAAGAAAATTCATTTCTGACATCAAGAATAAACCAAAATCAGGTAAAGGAATAGCACTGTATGAGAAGGCTGCCGCTATTATTATTTGAGTGAGCATCAAGAGGCACTGTTGGCTAACTGTTTCATAAACATTAATAATAACAATGTTCTCTTTCATACTCACTATTAAGGAAAAACAACAGTGGCAGCAGCATCAGAAACTTTACCCAAATTTTAAATACCTGACAATGAAAAAATATTCTTTCTTACGCTAAGAATAATCATGACAATATCCCCCAAAAGGATGACACTTATTACAGTCTTGATAATAGTGTAGTAGGTAAGACTAAATTTTCATAATGATATTATGTACTATACTACACTATTAGTTTGGCGATACATGTGAACCAACACACATGTGGGCAAATGTCAGTTTACCTGGTAAGTTAATGCAATGATAGCTGACGTGATCAACCGTCCAAGTGGCTAACAAGCAGATCAGTGGCGAGGAAGATCAAAGTAAATATGGTCTTTGCATTTGACACATGCAATAAGGCATCAATCCTGAGGGTGACAGCAGCATCCTCATATTAGGTGAAAAGTCAAATAAGGAAAAGTACTACCTATACTAGTACTCCTTCACACAATTTGCTTTAGCTTTGAATTAAGAAATATAAGTACAGTAATCTTTATTCAATACACATTTTTCATTGGGTAGCTGGATAACCTGAACAATTGTTGTTAAATATTACTTTAGGGATTTTAAAGGTAAGAAAGCATTTATCTGATATAGAATATCTTTAAGTTGCTGGTTACGGGACACAACTGTCATAAAATAATATAAAGTTTTCTTATACTGTATAGATATATTTAGTTTGGTAGCTGGTTAACCCGGCCCCTGTCCTTGACTATTACCTTCATTTGATTTAACTACCGTAGTGCCATGAATGTATAGGACGGTCAATATGTAGTTTCGACCAACCACAGTTCTCGAGTTGAGCAATGTGTTTTGGTAATATTGCAGTAAACAGCAACCACAAATTCTGGAAATTCACTACACTCAATCGATAGAACTAATTTTTCTATGATTATTTACAAATATTACATCAGGTTAGGTTAGGTAACACATTTTTTTATCAGATTCCTTGGTTGCTGTAATCTGAAATTTTACCTGTGTTTTTCCGATGGTTTATAAAATTTTAAGACACTTTTCTTTTATGACGTTTTTCTCGCAAATTACATAAAATTACCTAACCTAACCTCCTAACCGGGGGGCTCCGCCCCTGATATATTTAATTCATTTACGATGGAAACGTCATAGAAGAAAAATGTTTTAAAATTGTCTAAACCATCGGAAAAACACACTGTTCAACTCAAGAGAAGTGGTTGGTCGAAACTACAAATTTACCTATAAACCTAGCATGACAATGTTGTAAGCTACTGTATTACACATTGCATTATTTTTTTAATAATCTTTATCGGATTGTGTCATTAGTAGTAAGTTATTTCGACTCCATGGTCAATTCTGAACCACTGTCATTGTAAATTTCTTGTAAATTTAGTGGTAAGCTAGCAGAGTTCTTCAGGAATTTTCCTCCTATGTTACTTAACAATGAAAAAAATCACCAAATAAGGTACATTATTATATTTAATATTTTGGACATTTCACTGACAATAAACTAATGACGAAACGTGTGTTGATAAAAGCATGATGCCCCATGTTGATCCAAATTAGTTTCAGAGCATACTATACACTCTGGATGGAGAAACCAATCTAATTTCTTGTGGCAAAAACTATGAATACGAAGTTACTATTTATAAACTGAAAAATCAATTAAATCAGTAAATATTAAACAAGAATTAAGAGGTATTTATTACATGACTCACCTCACCCAGCCTTCCAGCTCGACACTCGTTGTTGTCGTCTGCTCTGTGTACACAACAACAGTTCCTCCGGTGCCAAACCTTCAGTGTTGATTGATATTAATGACATATACACATCACTAATCCATGCAGTTTTATCAAATATATAAATTTCAATACGAAACTCTGATCATTTTACTTGTGTTTTGTAAATACAACTTAAATTTTATTAGGTACTAAACAAAATTTAACGTTTGGCATTTGACCTACATGCGTATTATGATTTAGCGCACAGTTATTTATCGCCTATATTATTCATGGAACATTTGATCATATGAATTATCGTACAGCAATTATTCTAGCATTTATTATATCTTATAAAATCATGCCCTCCGGATGTAAATAATTACAAAAAGACACACAAACCACCATAAATTGTACATAGGTATTCCCACTACTGTTCAAAACTTTATCATAAAGTCTCAAAAACTCACAAAAGCTTACATTTCACAATTTTCATCACTATACAATGCTTAAATATGCTACCACTACACATTGTTAAATAATAATAATAATAGTAATTATAAACACACATTGCTGCTTTGGATCCCTTTATTAATTTTTACTAGTATTATTATTTCTGATTTTTATTATTTATTTTTATTAACTTTTATCATTATTACTGTATTATTATTATTACATTTTCGCCAGCCCCCCAGGCCTTGATGTAGGTCATTATAAAATGACCTGTGCCCAGGTGGGCTAATGGGCTTTGAACAGTGTACCCCATGAAAGGCTGAAAATCAAACTGGAAGGGTACGGAATTCGGGGAAATGTCCTAACGTGGATAGAAGACTTTCTACATGACCGCAAGCAGTGTGTGGTGATGAATGGCACGAAATCATCATTTGTACGTGTCACAAGCAGGGTACCACTGTACCACAGGGCAGTGTATTGGGCCCGTTGTTGTTTGTTCATTTCATAAATTACATGCCTGATGTTGTATACTCCTCCATACAAATGTTTGCGGATGACTCCAAGTTATTTTGGAAATCAAGAACCAAGCGGACTGTGAAGAGCTGCAGAAGGATCTCTGTGAGCTCCAAGAATGGTCGAAGAAATGGCTGCTGAGATTCCATATCACGAAGTATAAGAGGATGCACCTGGGGCGTACCAACGGTAAGGAGGTGTATCATATGTCGCAACGGGATGAAGAAACTGCATTAGTTGAGACTGAATGTGAGAAGGACCTAGGTGTGTATGGTGACAATGAGCTGAAGTTCTCAGGCCATTGCGAGAAGAAGGTGAATCAGGCAAAAAATTTATTAGGTCTAAGATCATTCAGATATCTAGACGGTCCGTCCCTCATAACGATCTTCAAGAGTGAGGTGCTTCCCCATCTGGAGTACTGTCACCCTGTCTGGTCCCCGAGAGGGCCAAAGGAGGGCCACCAGACTGGTGCCTGCACTTCGACACCTCAACTACTCTGAGAGATTGGAGCACCTGAACTTGCCTAACTTATAGTACAGACGGGCAAGGGGTGGCCTAATTGAAGTGTATAAGCATTTCAAAGGGCACTACTCAGTCGAGTGTCCTTACTTGGAGCTGGCGGACGCTTGCCCCACAAGGGGTCACAGCTCAAGATTGAAGAAGCCACAAATCCAGAAAACTGTGAGGGCAAACTTTTTCGGAGTGAGAATTGTGAACTCTTGGAACAATCTGCCAGAAAGTGTTGTGACAGCACCGAGTGTGAAATCTTTCAAGACCAGACTTGACCAACACTGGAGCAGGTTCAGGTACATTCAGGAGCCAGTGCATGCCCAGTACTTGCCAACAGTGAGTAACAGACGAGACCGATCGCTCAAGCGGCTAACGAGCCGATCAGTGGTGAAGAGGATAAAAGTGGAAGTAAAAGTAAAATGTTTTTCCTCTTTGGTCACGTCTCTGTCTTGCACTGTTGGCAAGTACTACTGGGCATGGATTGGTTCCAGGATGTACTGTATATGTACCTGTACTAGTGTTACTTTTACTTTCTTTACTTCACCACTGATCATCTTGTTGGCCACTTGGGCGATCGGTCACGTCTCTGTTACACACTGATGGCAAGTACAGTACTGGCTCCAGAATGTATCTGTACTGCACCTGCATCAGTATTGGTCAACTCTGGTCTTGAAAGAGCTCACACTCAGAGATGTCACAACCCTTTCTGGCAGATGGTTCCAAGAGTTAACAATTCTCACTCTGAAAAAGAGTGCTCTCACAATTTTCTGGACTGTGTTTTTAATGGGCAACTTTTATATGAAGAATGCAAATATCCTTTTTGTCAACAATACAGAGCCTCTTACAACTGTTCACCATCATCTCTCAACATGCTTGGTGAGAACAGGACTGTCAGTACTGTATCAGAGTCATTAAGCCCCCTATAGCAAGGAGCATATTACCTGAGTCACATGTCTCTTACTTGTTTCATGTGTAAACATGTAATTCAACAATAGTTTTGGAATGAATATGTGGTATTATTGTTGTACTGAAGTACCTGTAAATTACATACAATATTATTTTTATTTTGAAACAAACTAAAGAGGCTTGGGAACTATATACGAGTCAATGCTCTGATGTGATCTGTATTCAAGCTAAACATGACTAATACTGTACAATACTGTACAGTACAGTGTATTTTGGAACATTTAAAAGTTAACCCAAAGCATCAGCCTCATGGGCTAGGTATCACAAACAGGCCAAGATATTTGTGAGCCAGTTGGGTTCTTCCAACAAGCCGATGAGGATTCGGTTATTCTACAAGTATACTGGCTTATACAGGACATCAATCTCAACTTTCCTCCTCAGGGGTATTTGAACTCTGGACCAATGGATTACTAGACTATTATAAATCACTCTTACCACCATTGTATTGAACATGTTCAGAATACTCGTGCAACAGCAAATATACAAGTTTTACCTGTACTGTATTAGTATTGTAATAAATTTCCCTTGACATGATATATGAAACTACATCATTCTTCTTCAATATACTGTATTTCATACACACAGAAAATAAAACACTATACAATACTGTATAAAATAACAACCAACATCTAATTCACACATACACATACATATATATATACAAAATATGGAATGTTTTATATACTGTACATAAAAGAACAACAATCTAAGTTTTAAAACTTACAAACTGTACTTGCTTTTACATGATACATGAATCTTACTAAATCTTTCACTTCATAACAATAACTAAACAAAATATAACGAGACCTCTCTGATAATAGGTTTAAAAATGTTACTGGTCTACATTAACCCTTTCACTATAGCTGGCATAAGACCTAACACACCCCTCTGGTGCAGTGGATATATGGGGAGAAAAAAAAAGATTCATACTTGGACTGACCAAATGAAATGAATATTTATCATTAGGAATTGATACTTTATACTGCTGCTACATAGCATGTCATCTGCTGGAGTAAAGTAGTCAGTGCTGTCATAATATGAGCTACTACAATTTTAATTTTCTATTGTATTTTTTTTTGTATCTCTTACACAAATTAGTGTACAGTACAGTGTCAGCGTTTGTATTAGCACATACCAATGTGCATGGATATCCATTTTGCTGTCCAGTAAATCCATTACAGTAAATAATCTGAATACTCCTCTACATGAGACAGTGCAGTGTTCTTGTACAAGTCTTTCCGATATTTTGAGTGATACTGATGCATGAAAGGGGAAAATTGGCGATTTACTCTATGGCAACACATAGTCAGTTGTCATTGGACAACATAACCACTAATAATAATGGTCCAACACCTCACTGGGCAGTTTTGAAACCACAGTGAATAGGATTTTTCATTTTTTTAGTAGCTATATACTGTAAGTGCCCGCCACAGTGATAGGGTTAAATACTGGCAGCAACATTTTATCTTTTTTAATATACATGTATCCCTGTGTTTTGCTACATCTGTGATGATTGTGTTTCCTCTTTTATCTCTTCAACAGCAGCCCGATTCTCCTCCAGAATCTTCCTCAGACGATCATTGATAGCATCATTCCTCTGTTCAATGGTGTCCAGAGCAGAGTTCAGAGCATCAAGATCAGCATTCAGTTTCAGGAACTCTGAAAATACGAAAAGCGATTGCAGTTCACTTAAAGGGTTTATATTTGTTTTATGAATTATAAGTCATTACACAGTAGTCACTAAACTGTACAATACAGAACTGCATACTTCAACTGAATACTGTACAGTACACCACAGGGTATGTGTGTGTGTATATCAGGCTGTGCAGATTAGCAGTACCCTGCAGCCTAGACTAAGGGGCTAGGCAAGTGATATTTTATGTCCACTTGCCCAGCAGACACGCTAATATTTTGAGGTAAATACCTAGACAGAACTTTGCCTGGCATTGAATGACCCTACCCTCCCCCCTGTACATGTTTAACAAGGGAGGTCATCAGTGTATCAGGATTAGTGACCTATTGTACATCAGGTGCAGGTAGTCGACCTCTACATTAAGCCGCCAACCCACCCCTAATCAGTCGGTCAACTTGCCATTATTTCATGGAATCACATGACAATTACCGGTACTGTTACTGCCACTAACACCAGATTAGAGGTGGGGGATCAGTGGTGAAGAGGATACAAGTACTAAACAGTAAGTGCTTTCATGATTATTCACATCTTCAGGTTTTCTTTAGGTACTCTGGTTTCCCCCTGTACTAGCACTGGACAATGAGGGCTGTAAAAAGTAACAAAGAATTGACAGTAAGTTGATAAGTGGTGAGAATGATAAAATCAGGGAGTACAGCAGGAGTGTGTGAAAAGGACTTGTTATTCAGCACATTTTGGGGAATGAAGCAGCAGCCACTGACATTTTTAGGAGTTACGGTGTTCTTGTTTCGACCGTTAAGTGCCCGAGATGTAATTCAGAGTGTCAGTACTGTGTAGATCGCCAAGCATGGTACTGTGGTAAGAAATGGACACTGACAAAGATACCACTTCCTCATTCAAGGTTAGGTTAGTTAGGTTACGTTAGGTTTTCAGGTTTTTGCATTTTCTGACCTTGCACTTTTTTCTCAATATCTAAACAACGACTCATTTCTGACAACAATGAAGGTCATATTTGTATTTAACACGATAATTTACACTATAAAAACCCCTTTTCAAAAATCAATTCGGTTTTGGCAACTATCAAATATTTACGTGCCTCAGATATTGAAGAACTATAGTACAAGCCTTCAAGGCCTGGACTGTAGTAACGGGATCCATATCAAACCTTGTCTAGACGCGTTGTTGTTTTTGTTGCGTTGGGTAGATGTGCCCAACAAAACATCCCAGTGTGACATAAACATCCCAGTGTGACATAAACATCCCAGTGTGACATAAACATCTCTTTGTTTTGCTGGCCGGACCGTGTTTGCCAAACGTGTTGAGAGGAAAAGTGCCCGGTGTCCGTAAGACTGTAGTTGCTGATATAATAGAGGGAGTAGTTAAGAAGAGCTATTCTCAGGTTGCAGCAGGGCGACAGAAGATAACTGAGAGTAATGTAGGATCCAAAGACGTCTTGCAGCAGCTAGGGACTCTGCAGAAGCGTTGTGACGCCACCGAGTGTGACCTCTTACTTAAGCCCAACACTGGCGCAGGTACAGATAGATCCTGGAACCAGTACATGCCCAGAACTTGCCAACAGTGCGTTAAAAAGACGTAACCGACCGTCCAAACAGCTCATAAGTCGATCAGTGGCGAAGAGCAAGGGGATAAAGTAAGTAAGAAATATCTCGATACCGCCAACACTACCCTTCACTTCATTACTGAGCATCCAGGTCGACTTACCTTCCTCATCATATTCTTCATCTTCGTCACTGTTTGTCTCCATTTCATTCTGCTCCTTTTCCATAGGACCATCACCCACTTCTGAAGTGTTTAGCTTCATCTTCTGAGGTCCCAATGGTCTTAGAGTTAGCCTTTCTTCTTTGTGTTTACATTCTGGTCACCTGATGATGGTTGTGTTCAGTCTCCATCAACTGTTACGTCATATATCAGTACCGAACCCTGAAATTCTAAAGCCCTTCTTATGGAAATAATACATATTATATGGAACACTATAGAAACAAAGGTGTTGTTAACTCGAAATATGACGTCGTTATTTCCTGCAAAAGAAGTGTGAGTTCGGGGTTTAGGAGAGGGGCTCCATACTGTCAAAGTCTTTGGTACTGTTCTGTGAAAACTTTTGGATAAAAATTCTAATGTTGTTTGGATCGAAATTCACGAATTCGCAAAAAAAAGGAAATATTCAAATTTTTAACTAAAATAGGTGAATTTTTTCCTTAATACTTCCCCTTGACCATGTAACAAGTTCCTTAATTTTTATTAATAAACCATTTTTATTGTAAAAAAAAAATATTCGTGAAGTCTTTATTATAAAACATGGAATTTTAATCCTATAAAATTAATTGTGTGGTGTTTTAGCGCGTGTAACAAGGTTAATAATTTCGCGAAATGAATCTAAATGAATCTACGCGTTGGTTAATTTATAATTATCGAAAACCATCAACTAGAACAAATTTTTGCATGTAAAAATACCTTTTTGTTGTTATAATGTTATTACTGCACTCCAATAACTCTTAAAGCGCGTAATAATTTTGGTAATTCCACTAACCAAACATCATTTAATAAATTATGAGGGATAAAAGTCTCTAGTAACAAATCCATTTGCCAAAGATCTTCCACAATGTGGTAATGTATGATAATAAACTTCTGCATACGTGGATACGTCCAAGTGCAAATTATTACTTTACATTATAATATATAAGATATGTAGAATATGGAGATAATATTGATTTATTTATTAGGTTTTACATTATATGAGCCAAAATCGTAAGGATATAATTAATTAATTCTTCCTTTGTTTTGAGACAAAGTAGAGTAATGAAAATGAGTACGATCATTTTAACACTGGTACGATGTTCCAACAATAATGGCATGAGATGGCGACACAGATGATGCCAAGTAACTAAAGAAAAGATATGATTAAATAAATAAGTACTTACAGTTGAACACGCTGAGTAGGATAGAAATTCACACAAGAAAAAATATGTAAATCAGCGAAAAATATAGGTAATTGTGTGTTAAAGTCACATTTATATGGCGAGGTCAATATATAATACATGGCACCTGTGCAGGACGCCGCTCGCCTCCCTCACACCTCAGCGTGCTAGTGGTCCCCTGTGTTAGACGCCATCTTATCCGGTTTACTGCTGTCTCTACAACAATCTTTATCAGGTACGACTTGGTACGGTAGTATGTTCTATTGTAATTTTTTATTTTCAGACGTTTTAGGTTGATGTTGAATTTATTGCTTGGAAAGTTATTACATAAATGGGGTTGGAGATTGATAATCAATGGCGCATTATCTTGCCACCTGGATGATATGTATCTGCGTTGCTGTTATTTGTTATAAGCATTGTCTTCGTGCCTCATATTATTTTAATGTATCCAATAGTTGTGATAGTTTTATTTTTGGGGGGATTGACAACGTACCTGCTTCAGCTTATCTTATTCTTTCCCTGGAGTCGAGAAATGTCAGCCCAATGTGGTAAATTGCCGAGATTGGAACTAAGCAGGGCACAGATACTGAATATTTACAACTTGTGAGTTGTCACAAAGCAATGGAGGAAATGGACACCTTGCATATTGGCATTCATGCAAATTAATAGGAAAATGGGATCACCTGAAAAGGGTCCGACTAATTACCCAAATGTAGCCAAATATAGCCGGAATGAAGTCAAATAATGGTCCTAGATGAATAAATCGGACTGCCAATCACTTCTCGACTAGTATTTGGTGTCAGAAAGTCACAAAAAATTGGAAAACTTACTTTAATCTGAGTTAATAGATCGAGTGCATGTACCTAACCTAACCTAACCTAACACAACACAACTCAGATTAAATTAAGTTTACCAATTTTTTTTTACTTTATGACACCAAATAATAATCGAGAAGTGATTCACAGCCCGAATTACGCTTGTACGACCATCATTTGACTTCATTGCGGCTACATTTGGGTACATTTGGGTAATTCCTCGCTCCGTCGGTACATGCACGCGATCTATTAACTCAGATTAAAGTAAGTTTTCCAATTTTTTGTGACTTTCTGACACCAAATACTAGTCGAGAAGTGATTAGCAGTCCGATTTATTCATGTAGGACCATTATTTGACTTCATTCCGGCTATATTTGGCTACATTTGGGTAATTAGTCGGACCGCCTGAAAATGGGGTAAAATTGCGTTTGTTGCCACCATAGGATTCTGAAGTAAAAGCTACCTCTTTCCGATGTTTTTTGGTGTTCTGAATGAATTTTAACATCATTTCTGTCACAAATCACTAGTTTCCGAGATATGCCCCCCTCATCACCGCAGAATCAAGTGATTTGCGACAGAAATGAAGGTTAAATTCGTTCGAAACTCATCCAAAATCACAATGAAAAATAGTTTTGATGTTCCTACAATGTTGTGGGGAATGGATCAGTCAGTTATCATTAACTGGCTGGGGAGTGTTCCGTCCGTCTTTGGGGGTTTGTTGGCGTGCATGTTGTTGGTTATGAAGTGGGCAGGTGGCAGCAGCATCTTTCTTTATGGAAAGAACCTGATTAAGAAAAGTGCTATTCCTCATCCTGATTTGCCCTTATCTTGAGGTAAAAAAAAATATTTCTTTTAAGATTTTTCTTGGAGTGGCTGGATAACCTGGGCCAATGTCTTAAAATGTTACTGAGGATAAAGGCTTTCTTATTTCTTGACAAGGCCTTGAGAAATAAGGAGGATTTGCATTTTACGTAGTGGATATTTTGCCGTGACCGGCTAAGTCCTTACTAATGCTATTTTACCGAAAGTGTGCTGTGATTGGCTAAGTACTTTCTGTTTAGTATGATGGAGGGTCGGGCCTCTGGCTAGAAAGTTAGGTTAGGTAGGTTTTTTGGTTGGTTAGGTTAGGTTCTAGTAAATGTTGCCTCTTTTATAATGATAGGAACATTTGTGGAAAAAATAAACAAAGTTGAACAACTTCTGGTTAGGTATGTTAATGGCTACACAACGATCAACTCTCTACGAAGTAAATGCCAAATGCCGCAAGAGTCACAGTCACATCGCTCAAACGTTGTTTGCTGATAATGGACGATTAGCCATCAGAGTGCACTCACGGTAAAATACCGCAGTAGGAACTTAGCCGGTCACGGCAAAATATCCACTGCCAATTTCATATTAATATTGTGAACAAATTTTCCTGAATTGTTTCTTACACACGAACACTTACACACAACAATAACTTGGCAGCTACTGTTGCAATATATGATTCATTGGAGATGAGATGAAACAACTTAACCTACCCAGTTAACTACTGTTAAACCTGGTGGTGGATAGATAGGACAAGTAGCTCATCTTATCTCCAATGTACGTGTCATAAAATAGTACGTACTGTACTGTATAGCTTTAACTGGTTTAATTTTGGAAGTGTTCCTCTGTATGTAAGTCATGTCAACAGTGGTAATAGCATGACCAGGTGGACAGTGTATATAGTGTTCAGGATAAAATAAAATCACATTCGTAGTACATGTACAATATTGCAAGGCCTCATCATTTGATGGGATATTCTTGAGGTAAGAATTAATTTATCAATTAGCTATAGAAATTTTATTAAAGATTTAGATTAACAAGTAATACTGCCCCAGAGTTCATTCTTATTTGATGCCTTTCTTTTCCTGAGTACCTTAATTTCACAGCAAGTATTTCCTTGTTCTCGATTCAATGTAACAGTCTGAGAGGTTCTCCAGACTCATTCCACTCTTTGGTAATATAATGTGTGTACAAAAATGAGAGGATCAGTATGTTGTATACTGGTACTTGGTCTGGGAGCTCCCCCAGTTAGGTTAGGTCTCATAATACAGTAATTTCATTTATCTGTGTAATTCAATTGTGTGGTCCAGACCTAATGTAGCTGGAGAACCATGTACATATGTTGCAGTCTTAAAGCTACTCTTAGTTAACCAGAAGAAGTTGAGTGAAGCTAAAACATTGAATTTTTAAGACCAGGTGATAGTAGAATTAATTAACCAGAGGAAGCTGATTGTAACTTTTAGAACTAGATTAAGTAGGTTTAACTAATTAATGTTGTGTTTACACTTCCCAAATTAGTAAGGCCAGGTAAACACTGACAGCCTGAAATGCAATGATTTCTGCAGGAGGGTTAGTGACATGCTGCCGAGACCCAGGAGTATTTTTTAATTCCAGGAGTTAGTTTCATGTGGATTCAAAATCATGTACACAAGGTTTTCAAGAACATAATGGACATAAATTTGCTTCTGTGCTGTATGAACATTAAATGATTAACAGTTTTACATTCTTTCAGGCCACAAATGGTATAGAAATTGAATTTAAACAGCACTTTTTGTTCTAGAGTTATCTTACTTTGAAATATTAAGATGGTCCTACATACAAAGGAAATTTTAGAGAATGTATTCAGATTGGAAATTATTGTTGGCTAAGTCACTCAACCATTGATAAAATCCCCACAGACACACAGTTCGTTTTCACAATGTCAGGCAGCAATTTGCAGAACCATTGCTTATTTTACTACTTTCTGTAAAATGATCATCATGTTTCAGAATGACTGACCATGAGACTGAGCTTTTGGACTACGAGGAGGATGAAGATGCGGTGGAGGCAGGAGTGGGAGAGTCCAATGAGGCTGCCCCAGCAAAAAAAGATGTCAAGGGTACATATGTATCCATTCATTCATCAGGTTTCAGAGATTTCCTCCTCAAACCAGAAATCTTGCGGTCCATTGTTGACTGTGGTTTTGAACATCCCTCAGAAGGTGAGAAAGGTTAAAAATTTCTTATACCATTGTGGTTTTAAATAACTACGGTCTACTCAATGTATAAGGTTAGGGATGTGAATAGAGAGCAGAGGATGCCAGTGCTCAGGAGTGACAAGACAAGGTAGTTTTGGAAAAAAAAATCTACGAGGAGCATTGAACCGAAGTATGCATAAAAACATGTATGATGTCTTTCACTAGTATCCATTAAATTTGGTTCTGTGCTCCACATACCTGTATGTAAGAGAATGTATGACAACCGAAGTCTCACAGGCAAATAGTAAGCAAAGTAACAGAGTTGACGGTGTAATTTAGAATCTCTTATTCAGATTAATTTCTGTAAACTTCCATGAGTTAAATATGGAATGAAACTATTATTAATAGGTGGAGCAGTTTAATCTCACTGTTAGGGGGGAATGTTGCTGTGGTTTCAATAGTGAACAATTTTTATTTATCTTTGTGGATGTAAGTTTAGTCAATTAAATTCAAGATTTTAAAGCTTACATTTACCTCACTTCGCATTAAAAAATGCTGGTACTTAACTTTTTTTGCAAGGCCTGCCCTACTGGCCTTTGCATATTTTTAAATTTAGTGATTTATAGAGTGGGTACTTAAACCCCAACCTCACACACTCGAGTCATCTCTAGTGATGTTTTGAGAATTGATGGTATCTCATTTATTTCAAGCATTACACCCTCTCCCATACTGTACTGTACAGTAGTACTAGTAAATAGACTCAAGGTATACCATTCTGGGGTTAAGGATGTTAACTTGGTCAAGGTTATGTTTTTATATTTTATTTTCTCATCTGACACTTTAACATTTTGAAATCAAGATAGTTATAAATTTAAGGTGTCATTTTAAGGAATTTAACCCTAATGATCTCAAAATTGAGAAGCCAAAATTAAGTTTATTATTGTTTTTGATTATGTCTACAGTTGTTGCAACTGGGTGTTTTTTGGTCTGACTGCCTAAATACAGTATTAATACAGTATATACTCGTCTATAACCCCCCCTCGTTTATAGGTCGACCCTGATTTTTTGACCAAGAAATCGTTAATTTACGATATTCCTCGTTTATAGTTCGACCCATGTTTTTGAGGGTAATGGAACAACAAAACCTTCACTAAAAACGCTTTACGTCCTATAAACTGAGGCTCGCCGTGCATGAAACACGAGTGCCGAAGGCAAATTGTTTACCATTTATTATTACGACACTACACTGAAACGTGGGTAGTTTAAAAAAAAATATTGTATATTTCCATTCAAGTATTTATTCAAGTCAATTAGGAGGGAATATTATTGTAATACAGCAGTTTTTTAACTAAACCATTCGAAAAGCGATTACGGTAACATCTTTTGAACGAAAGAAAGCGAAAGTCATTGCTTTCGTCACGATTTTATCCCACTTTCCATTGTAATACGCACGTAATTTCAGCAAAAATATTACATTTCCATGAATGTATTATATCAAGCACAGTATGAATAGAATATTGTAATATAACAATTTTAACCGAAAACTATAAAAAAAACGAGTAACCTCTCAAGAACAGAAGCTTAGGTAAAGTCTTTTGTTTTCGTCATGTATTTTATCCTATTTTACATTGAAATACATTACGTTTCAGCAAAACTACTATTTATTTCTGAGAATATATTCATTTAGGTGCAGTTTAGGTAAAATATACGTGTGATGTAATAGTTTTTTAACTGAAAACGATTCGAAAAACACGTACCCTGTAGCCCTGTTCAAGGAGAGGACTGGGAGAAGCTGTTTGGTGCTGCAGACGATGACAAGGAAAATGATTTTGATCGATTTTAATGAAAATATTCAGAAATATGGTATCGTAGTATTTATTCAAGTCAATTATGATAGAATATTATCGTAATACAACAGTTTTTTAACTGAAAACCATTCGAAAAGCGATTACGGTAACATCTTTTGAACGAAAGAAAGCGAAAGTCATTGCTTTCGTCACGATTTTATCCCACGTTCCACTGTAATTCGTACTTCATTTCAGCAAAAATATTACATTTCCGTGAATGCATTATATCAAGCACAGTATGAATAGAATACCATTGTAATATAACAATATTTTAACCAAAAACTATTAAAAAAACGAGTAACTTCTCTTGAACACCGGAAGGTTAGGTAAAATCTTTTGTTTTCGTCATGTATTTTATCCTATTTTACATTAAAATACATCACGTTTCAGCAAAACCACTATTTATTTCCGAGAATATATTCATTCAGGCGCAGTTTAGGTAAAATATACGTGTGATGTAACAGTTTTTTAACTGAAAAAGATTCGAAAAACACGTGTACCGTCTAGCTGATACAGCTGGTGGTGCGTGATGCGTCGTTGTGAACAATAGGAGGTTGGAGTAGATTACCGGGTATTAATTAAGTGTGAAATATCGAAAAGGTTTTTAATACCGGTATTTTTTGTAGATCAATGAGAACTGTGATACCGTATATGATATGATAAGTTAGCCTGTGCTAAGAACTTCAACTTAGACTACTGAAAGCACGTTGTAAGGTAATGTAGCCTATTGTAAGTTGGTGAGCTTCATTTACTGAAGGAACTGCACAACTTTTCATTACTAATTGGTACATATTTTACGTTTCCATTGTTTACTGGCAGTAAATGGTAAATATTTTTCATGTCTGAAGCTAAAAGTTGCTCCTCGCCCTTCCCATCATGCCTAAAAATTTGGTCTTAAAAACTCGAACTATACACGAGTATATACGGTATATTGTAAAAGATCATTGAAAATATAATGGTCTCAGACGAACAAAAACCAGTGTTTTTTAGTACAGTATATACTGCACATTGTATTAGTTTATTTGAGCAATTAGGTTGTAATGTCTCTTTGTTTAGCGTTTATATTTTTGTACCTGGTACTTCACTGATTATCATTCTCTTATACTTGAAATTAAATTTTTGCAGTGTTTTTATCTCTATTTTTTGTGCCTCCAACAGTGCAACATGAATGTATTCCCCAAGCAGTGCTGGGTATGGACATCCTAGGGCAGGCTAAGTCTGGTATGGGCAAAACAGCAGTGTTTGTGTTAGCGACCCTGCAGCAGATAGATCCAGTTGATGGCCAGGTATGTTAACATTTATTTGGGGCTAAGAGTGATTCAGTTTTTAATTACCTGTACAGTGCAGTATTGGGTTTTTGAAGTTGCTGGTGATAACTGTTCAGACATTGTGTATTAAGATTGTGTAACTACATCGTTAATGGTAGCAGAGTTTTATGTTTATGTGAATCTAAATCCTTCCAGTAATACTGTACATGAGCAATTATACATCCTGGCCTTGCAGGATGGTATATTTCGCTTTTACCTGCTGTACTCAAAGAAATTATAGTTTCTCAAGATGCTTACAGCATTATTTGCAATATTTTTGCTTAAGAAGTATTTTCCTGGCTGTCATCCTGTTAAGGAGAAGGGAACATGTACTCAATGTTTTATTTTTGAAGATAAGTGTGTTGGGATACATTATTGGCAATGGAGTGTGTACTTACGAGAAACCGGATGAGATTGGAAACTAAAAAAAGGGGGATAGAACTGAATTTAACAGAGCTAGACAGAATTGTAAAATTTTAGGTAAAGAAAATGTAAATTCTGTGAAAACTGATCAAAGGACAATCTATGGTGAACTGAAAAGTTCACAGCACAATTATTTTATTGTTTCTCTCAGCCAAATAAAGTCATCTGACATTTGCCAGAATAAAATGCCTGTACCTAAGTGCAGTGCTGCCCTACAAAGGGTTAAAGCCATTTGAGAAAAATTGACAGGACACAAGAGGCACAGAATTTTCATACTCCAGCCAGCTGGTCAGGCGTCTGAATCATCTTGGCTGAGGCTTCCTCATACTTTGCCGGCATTCTGCACACCCCCACACATTTCTTCAATTCCAATTTCTACACTTTCTCATATAACTCTACACCTTTATATTACACAATTAGCATTTGAAATTTAAGAATACATGATAGTTTTCTTTAATTTAACTTTCCTCATATTACTTGAGAGTAAATGAGAAATTGGACAACTGGGCAATTGGCAGTGTAATGAAGCTACAGGTATTTGTCCTCACACGAGTTCAGAATTATATTATATGGTGATTATAGGAGAAAGATTACACACTGAAAGCTTATTTGTGAACATTGAGAGTGTAAGAAAATAAAGCAATCAGTTAGTGAAATAAGGAAGCATACTGGTAGGAAAAAAATATTGCATTGTTGCATACAGTATTACTTAAGAAAGGTTACAAAAAATATTTTATATTTCTGTACAAAATTATTATTTTTTTATTTACAAGTATTTCTTGAGTAAAATATTCACAACTCGGCATGTGGCCACGTTGGCTTGCAGTGTACTGATAGTTCAAGTACAGTGGGGTATGCTATAACGAACGTAATTGGTTCCAGAACCTCGTTCGTTATAGCATTCGTTCGTTATAGGATTAATCCGTTCCAGGCCCCCAAATACAACCGCTTAACACTGAAAAAATTCTGTGGAAAATGTAAAAAATACGGTACTTTATCTTACCTTAGTGTTATTCAGCATGCAGGTACCCCTAAACACTGGCACATCACTATCACTTCCACTGGGAGTCTTGGCTTTAAGGTCCTCAATCAATTGTTTAGCCTTCTCACAAATTATAGCTTCACTAATGTTACCACCTGCCATTTCTTTCTCCTTTATCCACACTAAGAGTAAATTTTCCATCTCTTCGATCACATTACACCTTGCTTTGCTAAGTCTAAAGATTCCCTTAGCCACTTGCACAGTTTTTAACTCCTCTTTATTCTTCAAAATCGTACATATAGTCGATTTAGCCATCCCATATTCATCACTAAGTTTCGCAATGCTTCTTCCATTCTCACGTTTCTTTATAATTTCTTTCTTAGTTTCAAGGGTTATTAGCTTTCTCACTCGCTTTGGACGACTCATTGTTACAATTGTATACTTGTATAACAAAATAGTTATACAAATAACGCGAATTTCCACATCAAAAGACGAAATTTCAACAATAACAGTGGTGCACTGGCTACACAATGAGACAAAGATGGCGCCTGATGCTCTTGTTGTGGGTCGCGGTACAACAATATTCATGCGCCAGGCGAAATAGTCCCGTATTCATCCGCGTTCGTTGTAGGAGTTGCGTTCGTTATAGCATTCTCAATTTTATAGGTAAAACCGTTCGTTATAGGAATATTCGTAGTAGGATCCGTTCGTTACAGCATACCCCACTGTACCTTGCTGCAATATAAAAATGTTCCCAAGTAAGTTTTCTTTTAAAAGTGAATTGTGACACTAAAGGTGATGATTTACTTTTGTGGGATTTTCCGTATAGCTAAGCCTCTGTGGAACTGAATCAAACAACAAAATCTCATGTACATAAGAACATAAGAATGGAGGAAACTGCAGCGGGCCTATTGGCCCATACTAGGCAGTCGTGTTTACACCCAACCCCTATCACTACCTATCACTAATCCTCTCTTTATCGTGACCTCAAGCCTGAGAAAAAATATTCCGTAGAAATATTGCGGCTTGGAAGTTTTATTGTACAGTATATGTATGAGTACAGGCGAATGTGGTATAAAATACATGCCAGGTTGATACTGAGTGACAACTCTCACTATTGTTCTGTTAATTTTAATTTAAGTTGTGTAAATTAATTCCTCTTATTCTACCGCAGGTGTCTGTGCTGGTGATGTGTCACACCCGAGAATTAGCATACCAAATAGCAAAGGAATATGAACGGTTCAGCAAGTATATGCCCACTGTCAAGGTTGGTGTGTTCTTTGGAGGCTTGAATATTCAGAAGGATGAGGAAACACTGAAGAACAATTGCCCTCACATTGTTGTAGGTACACCCGGTCGTGTCCTTGCTTTGGTCCGAAACAAGAAGCTTAATTTGCGACATCTCAAGCACTTTGTCTTGGATGAGTGTGATAAGATGCTTGAACAACTAGGTATGTACCAAAGTGTTTTGTTTAACAGCTTTAGATTTAGAATTAAAATAATTTAGCAGGTATTACTTTAGGTTATTATTGATGTAATAGTACAAGGTTTGTAACTTTGCTTCGAGAAATGATTAATGGAGTAAAATGTGACCTTGCAGACATGCGTCGTGATGTCCAAGAAATCTTCCGCAACACACCCCATGAGAAGCAAGTGATGATGTTCAGCGCTACATTGAGCAAGGATATTCGTCCAGTATGCAAGAAGTTCATGCAAGATGTAATTACTGAAGTGTTTGTCTTATTTCTACCATGGTATATCTACACAACCACCTTGGTATTGTACCTTGGTGTCAACAACTTAGCACGGGTGGGAAGTGGTGCTTCCTGTTGGGGGCCTGCCTACCAATCTGCCTCTCAGCCCCCTCCTGTACCCTGAAGAAAGAAGAACTCAATCTTGGCCAAGTCGCTCTATATCATATCCATCTCTCATCCACAAAGAACTGCATCGGAATCATTGCCATTTTCCCCAAATCATCTACAGTCCCTAGTTTTGAAAAACACATTTCATATTCATACAAATCAAAACCAGTAACTCAGCTCACATTCGTTATGATACCAGTATCCTATAGGTTATCCTGAAACCTAACAGTACCCAGTTAGGGGCACATCCTGAGTCCTGCCTTTTTGTACAACTGTACATCCTTACCTATATCCTTATTGCATTCATCCTAGTGGTGCAATATCTCCAGTACCTCATTGCCTTTTATTGGTCCCATCCTTTCATGTTTGTGCACTCTTCTCTCGTGCATATCCTCGCCCATACCGACGCTCTTCAGGAGGACAGTGTCTTTGATATGACATGCCACTTTCTCGCACCGTGGCAAGTGGTGCAGATGAGAAAGCAATTAACCTCATAAACCCATCCTTACCTTATCCACTCCATCATTACCTTATCCTTACCCTACCCTTGTGCCACCAATCAACTCACAACTCATCACAACATCACAACTGCAAGAGAAAAATATAGAAGCTGGCCTTCAAGACATCGGAGGAAGAATATTCCATCGAATTGAAGGTGTTAGTAATGAGGGTGGAGGATGAAGAAGCATTGGTGGTGCCGTTCCTGTATTGACACCTGGTCGGTGGTTGTGATGAACTACAGCTCACACGCCCGGGCCTTCATGACCAATCCTGGCAGGCAACCAAGGTTTGGGGATTTGTGGGAGGGTCATGAGTGCATAGTAAGCTTTTATTATACATAGGAATAATCTTATGGGTGAAAGAGAACTAACTAACTTATAAGTATACCCTTTTTTATTTATCTTAAGTGTATAGTTCAATCAGATATATCTTGTAACTGTATTAAAGAGGGAAGTAAGTAGTTTTTCATGTGGCTCTTGATATTATTGGTGACATCATTTAATATCCCACAATGGAAATTATTTGATGGATGATATTGCCCGGACAAGGTATTCAATTTACTGTGTACAGTAATTTTTTTTTTTTTGTACATTATTGTACTTTTATACTGGTGCAAACTTCTTTCAACAAATTGAAGTATTGACATCCTGATCTTGTATGGGCAAAGGCTTAAAGAACCACAAAGTACAGTACATTATTCTCCCATCCCCACCTCCCTCCCCTTGAAAAAATCTCATATGTTGTTTTGTTTTTCTGTTTGTCAGAAATTTTATAGCATTGCTGACTGGATTTTTTATTTTTGTTTTTATTTTTTTATTACCAACTGATTTTTTGATGCTTCAACTTCTATTCAGTTACCATAGTGAGTCTCCTAGACACCCGTAAGTTATGAAATAAAAGAATACTGTATGTTGAATCCAAATTATGACCCCTAAATTTCAAAGTGAAAATTTTACTTAAAGTGAGTGCACAAACCCACTGCTGAACCCCCTCCCCTCACTCCCCTCCCTTTTATCCAAGAATTCTTCTTATATGTGATACCCTGGATTGCATGACTAACTTCTGCATGGGTTAATGATTTTTTCCTTTTATGCAACATTTTGCTAACTTATCTTTACAGCCCATGGAAGTTTATGTTGATGATGAAGCCAAGCTAACCCTTCATGGCCTCCAGCAGCATTATGTCAAGATTAAGGAGAATGAAAAAAACAGAAAATTATTTGAATTACTTGATGCCCTAGAATTTAACCAGGTAAATATGTATTTGTGTGTAGAGAAATAATAGGATCATAGAAGTAATGAGCAAATTAGTAACACATTTCTATGGTAGAAGGAATACACCCATTCTAATCTTGACTGGTATATATTATGGCATAAGTGGTTTTGTTGCTCCATAACTTGCACGATTGGAATAAATTTATTAGTAAACTATGTATACATTTATACATTAGCCAATTTTCCGTATTTTGCAAAATAACTATCCAATCACTAAAATATGAAAAGTAACAAAAGACCTGCACAAAATATGGTCTTATTAGGTGGTGAGATGCCATCTGGTCATTGATTTGCCCATGGGGGTGCATGGTGAACAGGTGTGAGGTGAGTTTAGTTGGAGGAAAGTAACATTTATTGGGGACTGTTTGGTCAAATGTGTAGATTTATCTTGTATTATCCTGGGGGGGAGTGATGATGCCTGATGCTTTGCTATGTGGTGATGGACCTTGTGTCTTGTAGTGGCAGAGATAGTGTAGATGGCAAGTGATGGTGTAGAACGGTAGATGACAAAATTTTGGTGTGGGTGGGTAAGAGTGGGATCCAAACTCGACTAAGACTTCACTTTACATCACCATGAGCATCTCCATGTTGTAGCTCACGTTTCTTTGCATCAATACACTTAATCCATATCTTCTTGTTTTAAGGTGTCGTATCCCAGTACCATAATTTCTGGTTGTAAGCAATGGTTTGTCATTTAATATTTTTGTGGAAAATTGATGTCTGATGAGTGAAATAACTTGGAAGTAGCATAATGAAATTAATAAAAAAAAATACTGGCCAGACACACACGACTTCATCTGCTTTGACCACCACCATTACCTCCCAAAATAGAAACAAACTTTACATTTTCTGGTTTTGTTACTTATAGTAAATTTTGAATATTTTTTATGTCCTGCATAGGTACAGTATGCTTAAAAACTTGTAGTCACTCAATCTTGCAATGTGTTTGGGAAATGTTAAGGGTAGTAGCTTAATGTGTGGCTGTGAACATCTTATTAACCACACCAAATGCAAAACACCAGTTTTTCATGTCTTATCAGAATATAAACTCTCTTAAAATAATCTAGGGACACTTGGAAGAGTGGAATGTAACAACAAAATATTTACCAATTTTTTGGCTGTCAAGGGTATTTCCTTAGCACCTTTCGTAGATTATCCCCGACAGTTTAGGGGAGTGGGGGTATCAGGGTGTGTTGGGCAGTAGCTGGCATGGTGAGATGACTGATCACATGCCTACCATGTGATTACTTATTGCCTTTTTACAAACCCTTTTTACTGACATATTTCATAAAATTACTGGTACATCACTTATTTCTTAGCAATTTACTCAAAAACATTAAGTTCCCACTCTACCTTACTTTACTTATTTATTAACTTACTTGTTTACAGTGTAGAATATGAAGTGCAGTGAACAGAGGCAGAGCGCTGGTTCCTGCTAAATTCACCCCCAGATGTTCATTGCCACACACACATTAAAAAAAAACCCCGGCAGATGTGGTTTTTATGTACGTTGGCCACAAGTTAGAGGTTTAGAGTGTATGAGATCATGCAGGTGCAAGGTACCATGGCCAGCTGCTGCCCACTGTGGTGATCTTAACCACTAGTCACTATCTCCAGAGTATTTATGGGCTGAAATTTCAAGTTAATAAATTTAAAGTACAATAAATTAAAAGAAAAGACTTTGCACCCGACAGCAACGTGCCATGAAAAGTTATTGTATGTTTGTGTGGTGTGTTATGGGAATTTCTACATAGAAATGCTGTGTACATGGGGAAGGGGGTGACCTTTTCCTGAAAATTGAAAAATTACATGTGGAAAGCCTTGTCCTAACTCTTGGTAATTATCAAGCTTATACTGTACTGTGTTGTATAAAGTTGGTCAGATTTTTCAGGCCCCACTATGAAAATGGATTAGCCATTGTCCATCTGTATGTATTCACACCTTTACACTTTTTGAATATACAAATTGGTCGTGTTATCCTGAAAGTTTGCATGCATGTGTAGTTAGAAGGGTGGCTTTGCATCTATAACATTTTGAAAGGTTAACTATTATGATCAGTGTCCAAAGTACAGTACTGTATCTGTGTCATATGGACAAGGTTTCTAGTTACCCAGACACTTTGAAATAGCTATTCATTTTTTCCTCTCGGTCAATTAACACTGTTGCCTGGTGCTACTGTTTTTTTGGGGGGGGGGGGGCTACACTTTATGTATGCTTTGCCGTCCAGACAGATGCAAACTCGCCAAACTGTAAAATTATTCTTCGGTGAAACTTAAGGAACCTTGCTGATTTATTTATTTTTAATAGGGATTAAATGTATATTAAAATTGTAATATGTACAGAGGTTTTCTTCATATTCTGTATAATAGTTGAAAATTGTTTGGGTTATCTGAAATATTTTAAGTACTATAGTAACTGAGATGGACTTTTATTTGATAGTTTTAAGAAATTTCTGTGTAATTATTCATTAACCTTATATGTAATATGAAATTTCTTAGGTTGTTATATTTGTGAAGTCTGTGCAGCGGTGCATGGCCTTAGCACAGCTGCTGGTGGAGCAGAATTTCCCAGCCATTGCTATTCATCGTGCTATGCAGCAGGAAGAGAGGCTCAGTCGCTACCAGCAGTTCAAAGACTTTCAAAAGGTAAGCTCTTTTTTTCATTTCAGGTTGCTTTATTAGTAATGAAATAATCTACAAGTACGGTACTTCTTTTTTAACTCCCAGTATGAGAAGTATAGTTTTTTTTCTGAATTTTAAGGTTGCCAGTTATGGCAGTGAAGGATATTAATTTTTATTGTGTCAACTGATTTTTTTTTATGGAAATGGTAGTAATAAATTAAATATGGTTCCATAAAGTTGATTTAACTTTTTCAGCGTATCCTTGTTGCCACAAACCTGTTTGGCCGTGGCATGGACATTGAGAGAGTTAACATCGTCTTCAATTATGACATGCCTGAGGACAGTGATACGTACCTTCATCGGGTAGCAAGAGCTGGAAGATTTGGAACCAAGGTAAGTTTATTTGTTTAGAAAGTCTTTCATAATGGCATTCTCATTCTTGCTGATTAATATTACATCAACAGCTTTCTCTTGTTGAATACTCTTTAGCACTCCTCATATTTGTTCATCATCTGTTTTATGGCCATTTTCCACACTTGCATAGTTTATCCTTGATGGCAAGGTATCTCGGGCAAATTTGAAGCAAGTTTATGACTAGATGTCCTTCCTATTGCCAGATAATCTGGCATGCGGTGTAAAGCCATGGCACCTATTTTTACTCCTACTACTCTTCTATCCACTTGTTTGCTGTAGTCCTTCCACTGAACCTTTTTCACCCATCAGCCTGCATTTACAAATTATGAATTAGGCATTATATGTAGGACTACTAGGTGCATTCCTAGCTGGCAAGGCTGGGTCACAACTGATGGAAATCTGAGGTTACTCATCTACCAGCAAAAAAGTATATAAGGAATAGTATGGATACAGTACATATAATAAGCCTTCGGTATGCAAGGGGGGCAGCATAACCTGCACTATATTGGTTAATATTGACGACTGACCTTCCGACAAGTAATTTGTTTTGGTGTTTATTTTCTTAATTCTATTTTCATCAATGAGTAATATGATAATCATTTCTTGTGCAAATGCTTTGTTTGGTAGATATTTAGGCACCTAAGGTGCTCACTAATTTGTCTTCATGGCGGTAATGCAGCGGTTTTATGTTCAGGTTAGGTATGGTTGGGTTGGATTAAAAAATATTGCACAAACTACGAGTGTCCTCCATAAAACACAAGTGAAATTGTGGCGTTTTTGTAATCGTTTGCTATGCTAAATCGCCTGCGGGTTAATCGTCAATAATTACTACTATATTTAACTTGCACTTTCCAAACAATTAAGTACACATGTACAGTTGGGTGGATTGGAAGTCTGCCAAGTTCCAACCAGATCACCCTCTTACTTTAGGAGGCAAGGAGTGTATCCAGTAAACTGCTGCACCCACTTTTAATTAATTGAATTTTTTTGTGTAGCCTGACCTGGTGGTACCCAGCAACCACCCCCAGAGCTTGACCATCACATTCTTGTGGATTATCTGTTCCTTAGTAGTATTTTCTTAATTTTAATTATTCTATAAGAGCTTTCTTTAGTCTTCTATAACAACATTTCCTTTTTTGATGAGCTTCCTGAAACAGTGTCCTCTTAACTGTTTTTTTAATTATGCCTTAATATTATGCATAGTTAAGTTTATATACTGGGACGCCGAATAAATGGTCCCATATCTGTGTGTGTGGTAATTACCACAAAGGTTTACTTGTACTGTACCTTGATCTTTCGTAGAGGAAGGGACCTATTGATTATTGTTGCAAAGGCCTTTGTGTCAAGGCACTTTTGTTAAATGAAGTTAATAATCATTGGCTTATAGATCCAGTTCTCTGTTGATAGTTTGTTTAATACAATACATTATTTTACAGGGTTTGGCTGTAACATTTGTCAGTGAAGAAAGTGATGCCAAGACTCTGAATGAAGTCCAAGAGCGATTTGATGTCAATATCACGGAACTGCCAGATGAAATTGATCTCTCTTCATATATTGAGGGCCGCTAACAAGCACTTGATGAAATACAGTACAGTACTGTACTGTATATGCTTAATTTTAAGGTGAGTAGTTACTTGCAAATATTTTAATTTTGAAGAGGGAAGGGACTTGAGGCATGGATGATTTATGATTAAGGATATGCCATAGTTTCTACTGTACCCATGGGTTCACATTCCAGTAGATTACACAAATTGTAAAGATCACAAATTGCAGATCATTGGAGAGGGACACACACACACACCCAACAAGTTAACATGTGGGTTAGTGACCAAAGGACCGGTGTGTAAGGCAGAACACTGTAATTATGGGGGGGTTTTAAATCTTGATAAAATTACACGGGGAAAAGGGAAACAACGGAGCACCTTAGCTTTCGTCTTTATTCAAGACATCTTCAGAGGCAACTGGATTACATGGACAGAGAGAGGCTTAAATATACAGGGTGACCTTATTAAACATGAGGTCAGGTCATAATGATGTCATCCACTAATCCACACACCAACACACACGTAGAGGAGCTTAAGAGAAGGGGGGCGACGTGACTACTCAGGTCAGGTCAAAAATAAAGGACCCACTAAATAACTATCCTACATCTAGATTATACATTTATTTATTTATTTTTATTTTTTGAATCTTATTTTAACTTCCCAATTTTTTATTGTTTCAGGTTGTGCGTGATATTGCGTCCATGAGAAATGGAAGAATAATGTGTGTATGTGTAAGTCACATTGATACTGAAACTAGCTGAACTGCTAAATTTTCAGTATATACATTTTTTAATGAGGTAAAAAGTAATTTTACATGTGAGTGTCTGGAAATAATAAAATAACCAAAGTATTCAGGTGTACGTTTTTTCCTAATGTATTTGTTTAACTAGACTTTTTTATTTTTTATTGATGGTAATTGATTTTATGTATTCTAGCACTAGCAGAGCTATAACTTGCTACTAAAGTACAAGCATTTTGTGTACAGAATAGTCTTGAATAATAAAATATGTATTTATGGTTTGTTTTATTTTCTAATAATGTTTTTATACTCTGATCACTGAGGTTCAGGGGTAGTTATTGTACTGCCTGTTTGCAGATTAATGATTACTGTTTATCAAATTTGTTGGGTGCATTGCAGCCCAAAATCATTATACCTGTATGGAATTGATGATTCTACTGTAACTGATTTTCATCTCGGGATTGGCCATCGCATTGAAAGCTTTCACTATTGGCCGTGCCATTGTGTCAGAACATTTCAAATATTTCTTGACAGGAAAATGGATACTGTATCACCATTGACTTGTTCCCCCAAATGAGACTATGGCCATATTTTATTGTGATGGACCAATGCATAAAATGAAAAAAAATTCTAGATGGATTGGGTGTTTTAATGCTGGGATACTTTTGGGGGGAATGGGACTGGGTCTTCTAATCTTCATAGCAAAGATATATCAGTGGTAGGTGTCACTTGTCTGTAATTTAAAGTATACTCTACTTTCCTATGGTTTTGAGGAGCTGCACATACGTATAGGACAAATGGTGTACAGTAAAACCTTGCTATTTGCAAGGGTTAGGTTCCAAGGAATGGCGCGAATTGGCAAAATCGCAATTAACATACCACCTTAGTGCACTAATATATACCTTTACTGTCATCGATTGCAACTTATACAATGAAAGACAAAAATCGTGTTGTGAAAACATATGCCAAAAGGCTAAAACTTTTGGTGCGCTCTGCCGTGTGGTAGGCCTCTCATAATTTTTCACGAGTTATATTTATTCTTCAGACAAAACCACGACATGACTTTTGTCTTTGAATGTACACATACATGGGAGGATGAAGATGATAAAATCATGAAAGCCTACAAACTATTAGTTTTAAGTGAATGATAGTTAACAGTATTTGTATGCATTTATCCATTGTTGAGGTGTATACACAATCTATTTATACTGTACTACATATTAACTACTAAGGTGAAATTTCACTTATGTTTAATTTTGTTCATTATAGTGTGTAAAAGGCAAAATAGGTTTTAGTGAAGTGACAGTAATTAGTAAAAAAAATATAGGGCAGTAAGCAAGTTAAAGGACACTTGGATCCTGTGTAATATTTTCCCCTTTACCTTGTAAAAAGATTTGCCTGAAACTTTAATTTATTTTCTGATTTTAATGCATACTGCTGTGGTCCATCGGCACACTACAGGTAACTTTTCTTACTTTATTTGTTATACTGCTACTATCACAGCATGGTAGAGTCTGTCCATGGTGTGCATGTTACTTCATTATACATATGTTGTTTTATACTTTTTTTTTATACTGCACAGTACAGAGTATTTCCAAAAGTATTTTCCACTGGGGGGATGTCATAAAGCACTTGATATACCTGGGTTTTCCATATTAAGCTTTAGTTTGTTGATGTAAGCAGTTTGGAAGAAGCAGAGATCGCCTGATGCACTAACTCGAACTTGTCATGCTACTGCTAGTCTGAGAATCTTCAAAGCTGTCCTAAGATCTCCAGATATGGGTGAGTTATTAATTGTATTTTCTTTCAAGTCAGTTGGGTGTACAGTCCTCCCAAAAGTATTGTTAGCCATGGGGTCAGTGTGATTCGAAGTTTTCCGAGCAATGTTACTCGACCGGTTTTTGAATGGTTGGTAGATCTACATCTACCACCATTGAGCATAAATGGATTTCTTGTAATATTGCAGTATCTAGTACAGAATGCTACACACGGATGACTGCCTCCCCCAAATCCTAACTTCTCTAGCTATGGTGAGCAGGCATACCAACTTATAATGGTGTACTGGGAAGCATATCAAAGCATTTCGTCTAGCATTTCAAATTGTAGTCACGGAAAATCTAATGATATTTTGGGGGGACTGTACATTGTATTTTCATTCTGGGACATATATGGGGTGGACCATAGAAAGACAAATATTTTAGAAAATGAGACCTTCCGAGTGCTGTACAGGGGGTGAACGGAAATAGTCACAGGAAAACAAAGTCATGACTTGTACACATTGACAACAAAATATATATGATGGCATTGCATATAGGTTAGGTTTGTTTTTTTCAGTGCCTTTTTTTCCTGGATTCGTACAGGGATATGGAAAAGAGCAACTCCTGTAGGAAGCAGAGCAGAGTGCATGAGACAGGTGTCACAAGTTGATCTTATAATACACCCCCTTGTATATTGCTGTGCTATAATAACTACAGTTTTTAATATATATTATAGGTTAGTAATACACTAGTCCTCAACAACTAAAAATTAATAGACACTGCGATACGTGACGTTTGCAACCAATTAAGTGGATAATCATCATATATAGAATTTAATTGTAATGCCTCTGAGATGTATTTACACTATAATAGGCACATTATATACTGTGCTAGAGAACAACTGAAATAAATAAAGCGATATGGATATATACAAACTAACATTTTATGCTGAAAAGTGTTCCAGATAGTACTGTGAAAACGACCGTTCATTTGGATACAGTGTGGGGTACAGGTTGTTTGGTTCACACTCAGGATGGGATGGAGAAAGGAAACTCACAATGTGCTCTCTGTATACATATTGTATTGGATGTACAGTGCTGCTTGGTGCTGGGAAGGCAGCGTGGTTACAAGCGTGATGTAAAGAGAGCTGGTTGGTGAGGATGCTCAGAGGAGGACCAGCTTGTGGGCCGCCAGGCAGGAGCGGAGGAGGTGGTGTTAATTGAAGACTGGCTGTAGGTAGAAAGAGAGGTAGGTCACCACGAGGTCAGGTCTTATATAGCGGAGGTAGGCGTGGCTTAATAGCTGACCTCTGTCATGTAAGGCGGCGCTGGTTGACCTGGGGAATTCGCGGGGTCGGCTACTCGGCGACAAACAGCGTTTGTAGGGGAGGACTCCACTACAATAGTAATGCCTCTTTTGGCAATTAGGCAAACAGCTTTTTGAGACTAGTTGCCATTGTAATGTATTTACCTCTAACAATTTGTAAATGCGAAAATTTAAGGTATGGATATGGACATCAATTATAATTGATGTCCATATCCATACCTTAAATTTAAGAAGTATTTGAACTTGTATTCATTAATAATTATTAATGAATACAAGTTCAAATACTTCTTAAATTTTTATCGGCCACATTCCGGTAAACGGAGATGTTATGTTGACTGGTTGTGGCCTGTGGGGAATCGCATAGTCTCATACGGATTTCCTGAGCCTCAGTGCAAAACACCGACAAATGGAGACAATAAACCGTCGCAGACTGGCAGTGAGAAAGCAACCCAAGGCATGATAACAGTTTTGATGAAGTGACCTAAACCCAACGCAAATATCAAGACGGCTGTTAGAAATGGGTCGTTTTCTCCGACGAGAAAACAACGCCTCTTATTCTCACTGGAGAATTCATTGCTGGAAGAGGAATAATACAAGGTAAGCATGGTAATTTTACATATAATTTGTTTGATAAATTTTAAGATTACAACAATCTACTTATATTTTATTCGATTACACTGTTTAATTTCACATCAGATATGACGAGGAACATTTGTAGCCAAGGAATATTCAATCGTCCCTACTTGTAACCTTGCATGCTGTCTCTCTAATTCTAATACATAATAATTGATATAGCATAAGCCTCCAATGCAATTCATTTCACCTTATATTAGCATTTTTATTCTTTGTATAGTTGATAATTATATATTAATTTAGAAAAAACAAATAAAAATACATTGAATGCTACGCTACGAATCCACACCCATTATAAATCATTAATCAGTACGAATGATTATTTTCTTAAGTTGCCTTCTATTATCTGGGCATATTACTCGAGAGTTAATTACGGGAATGTACTGTAGCCTACACTTCATGAGACTGAAATAGTGGATACAATTAGACTGAACACGAGCTGACGTTCAAAGCATATATGACAGCAGCCACTCAACTAAAAAGACAGCTTCACTGATACCTTTTTTTTAATGCACAAATCAAAAGTGAAAACGAAATCAGTCATACAAAACCAACTAAACCAAACCTAACAATCCAAGGGTGGTTTTGATTAGGTTAGGCTGGGTTGGATGGTGTTTTCTTAGTAACAAGTATTTTTCATTGTTTTCTTTGCCAACGGATTTCCATTCTACTCATTAAAAAAATCGGTGAAAAGAAAGTTAAGGAGCAATAATAAACATTTAACTCCCATAGATTTAAGTCAGGTGACACAGGCCGTAGAGTTTTAAATTCCCACACATTGTCCTTAGGTGTTTAAAACCTGACTCTACCTGCCGGCTGTTGTTTGCACGGCCGTAAGATGATCTTATAATAATGTATAACTGCGCCTCAACATTAAACTTCTTTTGAGATAGTATTCCGGATCAGTACATTCAAAGTTTCTTCAAAAACTTTCCTCGTGTTTGAAGTCTTAAGGATTCTATACTGTAAGTGTATGGTTCATCCCAATGGGTGAACGCGATCACCCCAACTGTGGCGCCATCAAGCGGCTGCTAAGCATAAACAATAGTTGTCAAACAGATTAAAGGCGGGAGATGCACATTTCGGTGAATGCATTGATTTTTATTGTTTTGCGCACATTATTTTATCATCTACAATGGGATACAATTACTGTGCTGCTATAAATTGTTCCAACAATATCAAAAGGAACAGAAAGCCGCTGTTCTTCAGATTTCCAAAGGATCCGGGGAGGTGAGTCGTAAACCTCTGTCAATGTTGAGTATTGATTAGTTTTTATGAACTCTTTCTTTATTTAATGCATTTAGTGTTGATAAAGATCCACTTTTCAGAATTGCTAGTGAACATCAACCAATTGGATATATAAGACGAACAGGATACTGTTGTGTTTTCGAAAATATAAGGCTGGAACTTTAGTTTTTGGGTTAATATTCGTTTTAGGACTGCCCGTCGCCCACGATTGTTAAATTTTTATTTATTTTTGCACGAAATTATGATTTTCTGTATATTTCAGTGTGTTTGACTGAATTTCACATTCATATCTTGGGCAAAATGGTTTACTGT